GCATCTCTGCTTCCATCCAGCTCCATGCTTGTGGCCTGGGAAAACAGTCAAGGACAGCCCAAAGCCTTGGGACCCTGCACCCATGTGGGAGACCAGGAGAAAGTTCCTGGCTCCTGGCTTCGGATTGGCACAGCACCGGCCGTTGCAGTCACTTGGTGGGGAGTAAATCGGTGGAGGGAAGATCTTCTCTGACTCTCCTCCTTTCTGTATATCTGACTTTGCAATAAAAATAAGTAAATCTTTTTTTAAAAAGAATTATGCAAGCAAAATCAGAATGTCAACTAAAAAAAAAAGGTTTGGTTTGTAGTGAAGAATTCTGGAGCGTTGTTTTAAAACAGAATGAAATCGTCTGAATCCAAATCGAAGTCTGCCACTTATCTGATATATAATTCTTTGCGTGCAGACTTCACGTTCAAAGAATTATCAGTGCCCATCTATAGAATGGGGACAGCCAGTCCAGCCTTGTAGGGTCGTCAGGAGAAAGCACGAGTTACCGCTTGCGTGTCATGTAATTAATGTCTGGCACTAGCAAATACTTGCGGAAGCTAACTGTGCAATATGATGTAAGAAATAGAAGGCTAGCATTTGGTGACTGTTCTCAGAAGCCAGCCACTTACAGCACAGGGTATTTCATAGCTTGGGTTCCTCAAACATAAGCACGTTCAACATGAAGGCACTGCCCGGAGCTTCAGTGAGGTGTGATTCCTTTCATTTAGCTTCCAGAGAGCTTTGCTAAATGGAAGGGTTCCCGCCTTCCCGTGCCAGGAGCTCTGTCCAGGATGGAAGGTTCCAGACTGAACGTGGTACATAAGAGCCTGCCTATGCCTCATGGAAGTTAGAAGGAAGTGTTATGAACAAAATAGGAAGTAAATATTGATCACAGTAAGATACTATGTGTATATGAACAGCAGTCTTATTTTTTTTTAATGTGACAATTAAGCTGAGATCTAGATGAAAAAGACACCACATTCTTAAAAAGATTTTCCTTTTTCTTTACTTATTTGAAAGGTAGAGACAGCTTCGTTAGCTGGTTCGCTCTCCCAGTGCCTGCCGCCATCGAGGCTGGGCTGGGCTGTAGCTGGCAGCCGGGCTCCAGCCTGGGTCACACCTGAACAGCAGGATTCCAGCGACCTGTGCCATCCCAGAATGAGGAGCTGGGGCAGCTCAGCAAGCCATGCGTCTTGATGTGACGTGGGTATCTTGACTGCTAGGCTTGATGAGCTGCCCCATGATTTTAATGATATATTTTTGTCCATATTTTGATATTAGATAACAATCTTCAGAAATAATTTTAAGAATTTTTTCAGAATCAAAACGTTACTGTGATTGAGCTCCACAGAAAAATTCACTTCTGGCTGTCTATGGCTTAATTTTTTTTTTCTGTGTAAATCTCTAAAAACATATGCAGTTTACTTGATACTGAAGATTAACTTGTAGATTTTATGTTTTCCAGATAGTTATCTTAAAATATAATAATGAATAATTCTTTTACTTTCTGTTGATTTTTTTTTCCCCCTTCATCCTAGTAAACTTTTTCTTAAAACTCTATTGTAGCTGAATGCTCTTTAGTTAATAAGACAGTTAGTAGATTTTGGACTTAAATATGTTTTCGTGTATGGTATGTTCAGTTCTTGCTCAGATTTTCTCATCTACTTTCCCAGTTATTTATTTGTTTTCCTCAATGAATCATATAAACATTCTGTTGTGTTTAAAATATATATATATATATATCTTAGATTTTCTGGGGATTATATAAACTATAGATTAACCTACATTTTCATATTTTTATATAAAATTAGTATTACATGAACACTTATTGATCATCCAGACTACCAGTTATAATTGAAAGACAGAGGTCACAAAGCTCTTTAAAATTAATTTCTCCAGCAGAGGCGGCCGGGCAAGCCGGTCGCCTCGTGCCTACTTCATAAGAGCCAGCCACCATGTGCACATGGTGAGCGGCTCTCAGGCCTGCCTGACAAAGCTCCAGGAGCGGACCTCTCAGGGGGGAGCCTCCAAGCTTTGTTAGGTAAGTCTGACTCCACCTACTGCTCACTTCGGCTGGAGCTGAGGTGGGGATCGGGAGGGGTGGATCTTGGAGTCCAGAGATCTTAACCTCCGGCACCGCCTGGCTGCAGAGGCCCCCCAGGGCAACACAGGCCGTCTCATGCCTACTTCGTATGAGCCAGCCACCACATGCACTTGGTTGGTGAGCAGCTCCGGGTTGGCCAGTGCGTCATTTGGCGCCAGGCTCTGCTTGCGGGCCGCCCGACAGGGGAACTCTGGGATTTTGGTTCTCTGATGTGCTGCTTAGGTAGCTCCATGCTGAACCCACAGTGCTTTGGAGCCATGAATCAACTCTGAAGATTCCCAATGACAGTAAATCTTCCTCTGAAGAACCTGTAATTACATAATAATGCTGAGCTCCGAATACCAGTTCATTCAAAGGCTCAGACTCTGGGCATGCCCAGCAGGATGTCCCCATTACCTGCCATGATGATGGATCAGCAGACCGTCCACAGTGAGCAGGGCCATGACATTAACTAGCACCTGAGAACCATATCTGGGGATGGGGAGTGTATGGGGGGGTGTGTGGGCCACACCCTGTGGAAATTCTAACCCCACTGGGAGACTTAGGAGAGAGGAGGGTGACAGTCTAGGCTGGGTGAGACCAAGGAGCTTAGCCACAGTGTCTAGGGTAGGGATTGCGTCAGGCGATGGGCTGTGCCGAACTGAGCCAGAGCTTAGCACTGGCTGTGATCAGGCCCGGTTGGGGAGCTGGGGAGAGACCCTGGCTAGGTGAAGGTTCCCACCAAGGGGCACACAGGCTGGAATGGGACTGCGTTCTGGTCGAGACACAGTTGTAGCCTCCCTTGGTACAAGTGTGGACTGGGACTTGGCCCCTGGGCCGGGTCAGACTGCAACACCTTCTGGTGTTCTGGAGGACCAAGGTACATGTGGGATGGACTAGGCTGGGTTTCAACCCCAACTGAGCCATGCATGTGCTATATATGGGTATGGACGAGCCGTGGCTGGGCTGAAACATCCAACAGCAAGAACCAGAATGGGTTGAAGGCCAGTAAAAAAAAAAGCCGTTGCTCCGGCTAGGACAGTAGATGAACTGAGTGGTGCTGGCCACCAGTGGCCCGCAGAGCCACTGGTATGCATGAAACCTGGCACCAGGAGAGGTTCTAAGGGAGGAGTCTGAGCAACTCCTCTGACAGGACACAGATCCTTCAAATAAGTGCAAGAAGCACGGAAGGAAACAGCCCGGAACAAGTGCGCCACTGGCATACATTTGGCAATGGGTTGGGGGCGGACCAGGCTGAGTCAGTTCGCATCGTCCACTGGCAAATCCGAACGCCAGAGCAGAGAGTGGGTCGAGCCAGGTTTGGTTGCAACAAAAGCAGGATACTACACAGAATACTGAGGTGAGGCTGCCTGTGCCAGATGAGACCGCAGCACCCAACTAACACACGTGAGAATCAGGAAGGGGGAGCAGAGCCGACAGGGCAATGAGGGGTGGTTCAGGTGCTGGACAGCTACTCCCACTGGAGAGCTTGAGCTGGGACCAGACTAGGCAGAGCTGCAGCATCTGTGCACCTCATATGGACCAGGTCAGGGAAGAGCCAGGACAGGCTTACTATTCCTACTAGAATTAACAAAACTGGAGGGGGTGAGAGCTGTCGGGGCTTAGCTGTAGCAGAAGCTGGCACTAGGGACCTTTACTGTCAAGTCCAACCACAGGACTACCTGGAGAGAGCACAATCCGAGAGAATGACTTGGGAGGGAAATAGTGGGCTCCCCCCTCTTGGGTCAACACTCCCATGGGAAGGCACAATAACACCTAGGACAGGGGCTGGGTTGGATAGAAAGAGAGGCACTCAACAACATCCGTGAGGGCTGGACACGGAGTTGAGCTGGTTGGTTAGAACTAAGCTCCAATACCCTTTGACATCTACGAGATCCCAATGGGATATGGGGCAGACTGAACTAGGCTGCTACACATGCTGGCAAATCAGGGCAGGGGCAGGCCAGGTGGGGGTTATTGGGGATGCTCCCACTAGGCTGCAGCTCCCAGAGGTTGGTGTGAGGAATGAGTACATGACGAGCAGAACCAGGACGGACTACAACACCCATTGATTCCAGTGGAAGTCGAGGCTCAAGACGGAACCAACCCAGCAATTGCAACCACCAGCTGAACAGGGACCAGAGAAGGTCTCCCCAAGAAGCCGTTGAACTTATCTGGACAATAAGATGCTGGACTCTATGCTTGGTATATGCTTGCAATGAAGGAATCTCAACTGAACTTGAACTGTGTGGCTATGCAACAAGGTGGAGGAATCCACCATGGGGGGAGAGTTAAGGGAGGGGTGGGGGGAATCCCAGTACCTATAAAACTGTGTCACATAATACAGTGTAATTAATAATAATAATTTAAAAATTAATTTCTCCTAGGGGCCAGTGCTGTGGCATGACAGGCTAAGCCACTGCCTGCAGCTCCGGCATCCGCTTAGGTCCTGGCTGCTCTGCCTCTGGTCCAGCTCCTTGCTTGTGGCCTGGGAAAGCAGCAGAGGACGATGTAGGTGCCTGGGCCCCTGCACCCACAAGGCAGACCTGGAAGGAGCTCCTGGCTTGGCCTGGGCCAGTTGTGACCATTTGGGAAGTGAATAAAAGCTTTCTCTGTCTCTCTCTTTGTAGATAGAACTGCATTTCAAATAAATAAAATAACATTTTTAAGATATCAGTTTCCAAAAGTAATAACAATGTAGTTACATTTTTAATCAATTGATTTGAAATAAGAGCAAAGTGGTTTTTCTCTTATAAAAATTTTCCTTGTTATTAGTATATCATTGATGTTTGATAATCTAGGATCTATTTAATGCCGTATTTAGGAAATGCAGGGTTATATTTTGCGTGTATAAGATTGATGAATACCGTACACTTGAGAATATTATCCCAAAGCAGTATTAATGTGTTTTTAACTTTCTGATTCACAGTGATGCGACTGACAAAGCCTACTTTATTCACCAACATTCCAGTGACATGTGAAGAAAAAGACTTACCGGGTACGTATGGCACCTGCTTTCCTCTGTATTCTCACAAGGAGACAGTAGGTTGCTTATGTTGTCTTGGAATTAAGCTCTGCCTTAAAAAAAAATCTGTTGATTTATGGGTTTTTTTGGCCTAAGATTTATCTTATTTATTTGAAAGACAATTAGAAAAAGAAAGCAGGAGAAGAGAGAGGCAGAGGGGTCTTCGATCTGCTGATTTATTCTGCAGATAGCTATAATGACTGGGCCTATGCCAGCTGAAACCAAGAGTCACGAACTTCCAAGTCTCCTGTTTGGATGCAAAGACTCGAGTACTTGGACCGTCTTCTGCATTGGCAGGGAGCTGGATCAGAAGTGGGGCAGCCAGGATTTGAACCAGTGCCTATCTGGTCCGATGGCACTGCTCACAGTAGTATTTACTCACAACACCGGCCCCAAGCTTAGCCTCACCAGTCTTCTGCCAGCACAAATGCTATGTTAGACCAATTGTTGCCCGTTTTTGTACCATTTAAATGGTGACAAGCTGAGGAACAGGCTTCACTTATAATCCACATAACACAATACAATTAATATACTTTGTTAACATGACATTTAATATAGTTTAAGTAAAGATACAATTCGTATTCATGACACCTATAATTCCCTTTGTCCTCAAATGGTGCATCAGTGTGTGTGCCAGCATTCCTTTTCTTTAGAATTGTTGATGCCTTGTAGAACCTTGTAAAACATACTTTATATCTCATGACCTGCATTTTCTTTTGCTTCTAAATTGTTTGCTTTCTGTAAGGCCAGGATGTTTTGAACTTGCCTTTGTTGTATTAACAATTAGGAACTTTTAGGGCCATAGCACCCTGAACGCGCCCGATCTCGTCTGATCTCGGAAGCTAAGCAGGGTCGGGCCTGGTTAGTACTTGGATGGGAGAACAATTAGGAACTTTTTAAGAATATGAATTTTATGAACAGATTTATTTTTACTATATCTCTCCCAACTTGGTGTAAGCAAAACTTACTTAAAAAGTAATGCCTGGATTGTTATGTCTTTCTCTTCTGGCAGGTGATCTCTTTAACCAACTAATGAGAGATGATCCTTCAACTGTAAATGGTGCAGAAATCCTAATGTTGGGAGAAATGTTGACTTTACCACAGAATTTTGGGTAAGAATGATGTATCCACGTAGGAAGTACAGCACTATCTTAAAGCCATTGCACACAGTGTATTTATTTAGTTACTAACCATGGGACAGGAATATGGTCATGATACATACAGGTGATACAAGGATGTACAAATAACGTGTGACTGGTTTTTATTTAAAAATAAAATGGTAATAGTGATTTCTGTTTTCTTGTCCAGATTTCCTTCTTTATGTTTCATTTTTTATTTTGATATACTATTATCTTTTATTTTTATGTTTTCCTCTTTTGTTGTTAGGTATGATCTCATTTCAGATTCTTCTTTTTAAGATTTATTTATTTTTTTGAAAGTCAGAGATAGAGAATCTTCTATCCACTGATCCATTCCCCATTGGCCACAACAGCCAGGACAGGATCATGCGAAAACCAGGAGCCAGGAGCTTCATCCAGGTCTCCCACATGGATGGCAGGCGCCCAAGCATGTGGGCCATCCTTGACTGCTTTTTTAGGCCAACCAGGATGCTGACTCAGACCGGACCCTATGTGGATGCCTGCATTGCAGGAAGCAGCTTTACGTGCAGTGACATAACATCAGTAATTCTTTGTACACTGTTAATCAGGTAGAAGAAACCACTGGTTCTACTTGGTTTGCAGCTGCAAATTTGAGAGAATGGATTTTTCAGATTTGGTAGGTTTTGTTATCGCTTTTGATGTGTTTATTTGAATGGCAAGGACATAGTTTCTGTCCACCTGTTTACTCCTCAAATGGCCACAGCAACCAAAGTTGGACTTGGTTTTGGTGCCATGTAGATAGCTGGGGCCCAAGCCCTTGAGCCTCCGTCTCAGGTATGTTAGCAGGGGGTTCGATTGGGCTGAACAGCTGGAACTGGGACCAGCACTGATATTGAAAGCAGTGGCTTAACTTGACTGCCTCACAGTGCCAGCTCCAAGGTGTACTGTTTTGGTGCGTTTGCTTATTGAGTAGTGTCTTGAAAACTTGGAAATCTATTCATTTAAAAGAAGAAAAAGATGCCAGCTCTGTGGCATAGCAGGTGGTAAAGCTACTGTAGCCTGCTGTATCATCACTCAGTATGAGTAGCAGTTCAAGTCCCAGCTGCCCACTTCCGTTCCAGCTCCCTGCTAATGTACCTCAGAAAGTAATGGAAGATGGCCCAAAGCCTTGTCCTTGCAGCCGAATAAGAGAATGGAAAAGCTCCTGGCTCCCCGCTTTGGACTGGCCCAAGTCTACCTGTTGCAACCACATGGGAAATGAACCAGTGGATGGAACATCTCCATCTCTCTCTGTCTCTCTCTTCTCTCTCTGTTTCCTCCTTCTCTCTGTAACTCTAGGCCTTTTGAGTAAATTTATATGTGTGTGTGTGTATGTATGTATGTGTGTGTGTATATATATATATATATGCTATAAAATATATATCATATTCCATTGATAAATTATTAGAATAACTTTAAAATAAATTGATAAAAATTCTACAAGGAAAATAACTGGGAACTCATATGCATTCAGAACTTACAATATTTCAAAACTAAAATCTTGCCTTTTTCCAACCTATTCACATATAACTCTGAAGATTGGATGAACTGGATTTCATTGACTGTTATTTCTAGGGAGACTGAGAGTTTGTGCAGGAGCTGCGGGCCAAGATATATTATTTGTAATAAAATTCGTTTGTATTTTGGACAGCTTTAGATAGTGAGTAAAAAACCTAACAAAATACAGGAATGTTAAAGCATCTAACCTGAACTCCGGTTTTCTGTAAGCTTTTTCTTTTTTTCATTTGAAGTTCTTTGTTACACCCAAAGAGAGTATTTGTAGCACCCACATATATTTGTCTCAAACTTGATTTTCTTTCACAGGAATATATTTCTGGGAGAGACCTTTTCCAGTTACATCAGTGTCCATAACGATAGCAATCAAGTGGTAAAAGATATCCTGGTAAAGGTAAGTGACATTCTTGTTTAGGATGCATTTTGTTTTGAAAACATTATCTTGTGTCTTTGAAACATGATCGAAATGGATGCTTCATGCAGGACTGTTTGTCATTGACAAGCATTAATGATTGCCCAAAGAAGTAAAATATTTTGCTAAACACAAAAACATTTTTATTTATCCTCAAGGTTTCTGACAACTTGACTAAGAACATTTACAGGTCAAATGTACATAGCAGTTTAAGTTTTTATTCATGTAGGTAACTAACGTAATAAAAGCTCAGAGTTAAGAGGAAAGATCACTGGAAATGGAGCCCGTCGGGGTGGCTGTTGGGCAAGAGTGTAGGAGTCAAGAGGAGCATGGTAATCAGATGTCTGATTGGGCAGGAGTGTAAGAGTCCAGAGGAACGTGGTAATCAGATGTAGAGACGCGGATCCCCAGTGCTTTTGTAGCAGTGCACTAAAGCTCACTTCATGCCACCAGGGAAGCTGGTAGAAATGGGCAATGACCAAGCAGCGCAGCGTATTGAAAGCCAGGCTAAGATTTTAGTCTTCTAAGTCATTTTTGAAACAACTGGTAATCACTGTAGTGCTGGCTTAGGAGCAGATGTCTTCATGCTTAGTGTCGGGAAGATAATGTGAAGCATCATATGGGATGGTTTGCAGGAAGTAGAGTGTTTAGAAGGTTTGTGAAATAGTTCTTAAATCCAGAGTCAGGATATACTACCTCAATTCACAACCTGAAACTGATTCTAAAGAGAAAAAAGCAGGGCCCTGCACGATAGAGTAACGGTTAAAGTCCTCGCCTTGCACACGCCCGGGATCCCATATGAGCGCCGGTTCTAATCCAGGCAGCTCCACTTCCCATAAGCTCCCTGCTTGTGGCCCGGGACAACAGATGAGGACGGCCCAAATCCTTAGGACCCTGCACCCATGTGGGAGACCCAGAAGAGCTCCTGGCTCCTGGCTTCGGATTGGCTCAGCTCCAACCGTGTACTCATTTTGAGAGTGAACCATCGAAGGGAAGATCTTCCTCTCTGTATATCCGCCTTTCCAGTAAAACTAAATCTTAAAAAACAGAGAGAAAAAAGCATGGCAAGGAGAAGCTGTTCATCAGAACTGTCTGAGTAATGAGTTGAGAGTTTGGGAACACTACCCAAAGGGCTCTCGTCTAGCGACAGTGAGTTTGAAGATGGTTATATTGAGTTTTAGAACTCAGATGGCCCTCGGAGGGACGAGTGTTGGGCCTAGCGTTAATTCATGACCTGATTCCCAGTGTCAGCTCTTTGTTATTGTTTGACAGTTGTTTATTTTAAAGGCAGAATTACAGGGAGAGACGGAGAGGCGTTTTTAGAATGCAGTAGTTCCTTCCTTGCACACGGCTCTCATCTTGTGCTGCACTCCCAGCATTTCCACGCATTTCCAGCATTTCCTGGCATTGAGTTCAATCTTTTTTGGTCCATTACTCTTCTCCTATATTTACCTCAGCTAAGTTTTCTAGAACTTCTCTAATCTTTAGAAAGGCTCATGTCAGAAGTATGGGAATTCAGTATCTATCTGCTTAAACCCATAACTGGAAGTTTGGACATAAGTTCTGAATTGTCTTCTTTTTTAATTTTTTTTTTTTGAGGGTAGGTACCTTGTAAGAGTCATAGTTACACATCAGCTATGCACAAATCTGTCTTCAGATTTTAATTTTAAAAAAATGGTTTTGCTTTTAGTAAACAAAATTGAATCTTTTTAGTTTAGTTTGTTTTTAACACACAAGACTAAAACTTGAATTTTGTGTTTTAACTTTCAATTTTGGATTCCCAGGAGGAAACATGGTGGGTGGTTCCTTCTTTTATTCCATTATTGTCATTTTAATGTTATTTTTAACAAAGCAAATGCTTGTGTTTACTGTACCACATTTAATTGTGAATTATTAATTTTAAATTTGAGATCTCAGCAGTTAAGTGTAAAAAAATCCTATCATAGTACTAAAAGCATTTTATAAGTTGAAAAAAATAAACATAGTGTAATAAAGTGTACTGTAGGAACAGTAAATAACACTAGCCGTTTATGCTGGTGGTTCTCGAACCTTCAGAACCATCAGCGTCATCGGGGGTTTGTCAAGACGCTGGTTGCTAGGCTGCATCCCAGCATCTCTGATTTAGTTGACCTGAGTGCTGCCCAAGAATTTTCAAGTCTAATATTTTCCTAAGTGATGCTGACTTGAGAACTATTAGGATCCATGCTTTGAGAACTGCTTATCTATATTAGTCATTCACACATTCGTTCAATAAATGTATACAATAGTGCCAATCCTAAAAACCAAGGTTATAGGAAGAAACAAAACAGACAAGGTTCCTGCACACATTTTGAAGTGTATTTCTCCATTCCTGAATCTCTTTAAGTCTCAGTCACCTCTGAATACTCTTGAGCTTTCACACTTGTCCTGTTTTTGACAGATGTGCTTGATTTGCTGGAAATAATTGCCCTTGCAGTCCTTACTCTCTGCCTGTTGGAATTCTATTCATCCAAAACCCAATCTGCCAGAAGCCTACCCTGCTTGCCTTCTTCCTTGGGCCAGGCCTCATTGGCCCCTTTCCTCTGCTAGTTTCCCCTCAATACATTCTCTGGCCTCTGACACACTGTTATCATACACTGCCAGTTGTCTTCTCTGAGGGAGAAATTCCCAAGGGGCAGAGGATTTGCTGTTTTGCTCAGCTGATGTATCTGCAACTGTTTGAACATGCCATGACATATCCTAGATAATTAGGGAAGGCTCAGAGTAGCATTGTTTATAATAACAGAAAGGAGAATGGTGAAAGTATTCAGTAAGCTATACACTGTCCACATGACTAACATGCATAAAAAAGGCATAGAATGTAGTAGAAGAACTCAGGAGAACATACTAGAAAACCAATGAGTTTAAGTCATTTTTCTTTCTCTTCTAATTTTAAAAATATCCAAGAAAGTCTGAATCTCAGTTCCATTACCAGTTGTATAAACTTTGGGACGGTTGTTACTTTTCAAGCCCTTTGTTTCAGTATCTGTAAAACAGGGATAATACGCTTGCTTCAGGATTGTCAGAATTAAACCAGTGGTGTACTTAGATCGGTACCTATTAAATTTCAAGTGTTGCTATTTTGTGACTAAATATAGAAATGAGAGAGATGGCATTAATAAATATCCCACTTCAAAATGACTTGCATCAAGAATAATATGTCAGGGGGTGTTTTCTGTCTTGCAGCCCCCCCTTCCTGAGGATGTGCAGGAAGCTTCCATCTTTACCTTTAATAAATTTTGCTTTGCACACTGAGGGAAAAATATATCAGAGCAACTGCAAAGCCCACTTTTTATAAGAAGCAAAACCCTGGGCTCCTGGCTCTGCTGTAAAAGACCTGCACGACTTCCCTTGACCTAAAGTGAACTTTGCTCTCTCTGAATGTGTCCTGACGTTTTCTTTGAAGTTCTATCATAACTTCATCCATGTATTCATATTACTTGCCTACCCTGTGCCAGGCTCCTTGCTATGTAATGTGCTAGAGAAGACAAGAAGTTTTCTGTTTCACTACATACATCTGGTAGGGGAGACATAGACAGGCAAACAAAACCATAGATCTTGTGTTTACAGATTTTGATAAACAATGCAAAGATGCTAGAAGTGATGGAATGACAGATTAAGGGAAAATGCTACATATGACAATTAGAAGGATGAAGGGACATAAATAGGAGATAGTCCTTCTGCTGGTTTCTCTCCCCAAAGGGCCGCACAAGCTATGTACGCTTAGGCCAGGCCAGAGCCAGGCTCCAGGAGCTTCCCCTCACTCCCATTGCGCTCCCAAGCACACTAGGAGGGAGCTGCATCAGAAGTGAAGCAGCTAGGACTCAAACCACTACCCATATGAGATGCCCAGTGCCCAGAAGGTATCCTTTCGCATTGATGAGCTCATTATCATCCTCTAGTTTTTTCACAGGTTGATTAAGATCTCTGACTTACAGTATTGTTTTGGATTGATTTTTCATTGTCATATGCTAACACATACATAGATATATGTATTTGTTTCAGTGAAGTCCATCTCTCTGTATATATACTTAAATGTATGTGTGTGTGTGTGTGTGTGTGTGTGTGCGTGCATATGCCTCAGACTCAGATCAACACCAAAGCTTTCATTGTGACTCTTTTTTGTACCTTTTCTTCCCTGAAGATAAGAAACTTATCCCATTTCCCATGATTTGTTTATTTATTGCTAGTTGTTTATTTATTCCTAGTACACACATAATATCGTTTCAGAATTTACCACCCATGTTTCAGGAGAAAGCACATGTGTTAGGATACGTTTGTGTACCATCTATTTGTCCTTAGCTTTAGAAAGTTAAAGCTTTGTTTTCCAAACTTAACATTAGATTAGCTCTTTCTCGTCCCTTCCCTCTCTGCAGCCGGTGTGTTCTTCATTTGTAATGCTTTTCCTGTCTGTATTCCGTTTCGGATTCTCCCTGCCACCGGTTCATTCTCTGCTTCCGAAGCATCACCGTGTGTCTGAACCAGTGCCAAGGTTCTAAATTCTAAGCTTTATTCATCTCTCATTTCTTGTTTCTGTTCCCCTGCTCTTGCCGCTCATACGCATCCATACTCTGTAGAGAAACAATCTCACTTGGGTTTTCTTACATTTTATTTCAAGGCTGATCTTCAGACCAGTTCTCAGCGTTTGAATCTTTCAGCCTCGAATGCCGCAGTGGCTGAGCTGAAACCCGATTGTTGTATCGATGATGTCATACACCATGAAGTAAAAGAAATCGGAACCCACATGTAAGGATTAACTTTACTGTTTCTTAACAGCCTTCGTTTATATGGGTCTTTATTTAAAATTTTCGCTTTCTTTCTATTTACTATTATGCCTAAGAACCTACTTTAAACTTGTTTATCAGAACCAAACTTTAAATATGCTATTTATCTTATAGGAAAATAATCTTAACTCATTGTATATTTCTAATTTCAGTTTTTTATCTACAGATAATTTTATCTAAAAAAGTCATGAATGTTTATCAGATGTCTAAAACATATATTTGTCATTTTCTGAAATGGTAACAATTCTGATCATAGCATTTAGTTTTAAATTTTTCAGCTTGATAATTAACTATGTATACTGAGCCCTGAGAACAATAAGACACACTTTCCAAAAAAAAATCTCAGATTTTGTATTCCTGACCTGTGTATGTATTCCAACATGAATACTCTATTTTTTTTTTTTTCAGGCTGAAAAGCCAATATGAAATTTTCAGCCATCTTGAGTAACTTTAGATTTGTTGGTTCTCTGCAGCACGCCCACATCCAGTCACAGCCCTACTGGAGGATTTTGTTTTTATTTATTTGCAAGGCAGAGTTTACAGAGGGACAGGAAGAAGCGGATCTTCCATTTTGCTGGTTCATTCCTCAAATGACTGTAAAGGCCAGGGCTGTCCCAGGCTGAAGCCAGGAGCCAGGAGCTTCTTCCAGGTCTCCCATGTGAGTGCAGGAGCCCAAGCACTTGGGCCATCTTCTGCTGCTTGCCCAGGCCCAAAGGAGGGAACTGCATGGGAAGTGGGGCAGCTGAGTCTCAACTGGCACTTACATGTATACTGGCATCACAGATGGTGCTATAAGCCACTGCACCATAGTGTTGACTGGGTTTTATCATTGTTAATTTGCTGTGAATGGTTTTTTGTTTTTTTTGGGTTTTTTTTGCTTTTGTTTTTGTTTTTTGTTTTTTGTTTTCAACTCAAAACAGCACTTTGTAAATAACTGTATAGTATACATTTGGACGGTATGCTTTGCTTAGTCCGTGGTCTGGTTTATTGTTAGTTTTTTGCTGTTATAAAAAACATAATGATGAGATTTCTTTGTGATAGATTTTACCATGGGAACATGTAAGATTTTCTACAACTTCTACTAAAAGATTGTTTTCTTCATTCCTTACAGCTATAGTCTGTTTAAAGAAAGTCAATTTCACTAAACTCTCAACCAATCTGATTTTTTCACTTTTAAATAATTTTTGACATATCTTCATAGGTAGGAAAAAAATGTCCCTCACCTCTTTTCTTTGACTGCTCCTGTGGCCAAGTCTGTGCGTTAGCCAGGGTGGCCCCAGGATTTACCCAAGTGTTTCCCTTTTGTTTGGGGAGATACATGATGCTTTACTTATCAACTTGCAAGAAACCTTTGCATATTAAAAACCTAATGATAGGGCCTGGCTCCATGGCCTAGTGGGCTGGGAAAGCAGTCGAGGACAGCCTAGAGCATTGGGACCCTGCATCCGCGTGGGAGACCAGGAAAGAAGTCCCTGGCTCCTGGCTTAGGATCGGTGTAGCACCGGCCATTGCAGCCACTTTGGGAGTGAATCATCAGATGGAAGATCTTTCTCTCTGTCTCTCCTCTTCTCTTGTGTATCTGACTTTGCAATAAAAATAAATAAATCTTAAAAAAAGACCTAATGATTGGCTAATATTCTAAGTATTTTATTCCAGGTTCTTGTCTGCTCTTCAATTGTTTTAATGTTTTTTGATTTATTCAGTATATAATTCTGGCATAATAGTCTTGTTTTCCATTGCATCTATGTTAAATCTGCTTTGGAGTTGATTTTTAATTTTTTTTTTTACTTTATATGAATTTATTCTTTATATCCAGCTGTTTGGTTGCTCTGAGACTTATTTTTGCAATGCATTATACTTTTTAAAGGAAAAGTGTTTTATTTTCTGCTCCAAAATTATTATATGTCATCTTACTAACCAGAGCTTTCTTGTTCGTAATCTAGTTATGTCCAAAATCTGTTGCTACTTTTTTTCCAGTTCTAATATTTGTCCAGACTTTGACGTCATTGATAGACATGTCTTCCGGATTTCTGAGTAGAATCCAGGTGTGTAACATTTCCAGTAAGCAAACAGGAATAGATTCATTAACACATCTTTCTGTTTCAGCTTGGTGTGCGCTGTGAGTTACACAACTCAGGGTGGAGAAAAAATGTATTTTAGGAAGTTCTTCAAATTTCAGGTACTGAATATGATGGCATTACATACTTTGAATCCTTTGTATTTTAATGGAAAGGTAAAGATAATTCTATTTATCTGCGGAGGAAACAAGATCTAAATAAAGTGCTCAGTATTTTTGGATTTGTCATATTACAGTAAACCCTTCACGTGTGCAACTTCTGTATCCCTGGATTCAACCAGCCATGGCCTTAAAAACATTCAGTGTCTTTTACTATGTAAACATCACCTAAAATAAGTTTTTGAAAAGGAAAAGGAAAATCATTCAAAAAATTTTCATCTGAATGGAACATTATAGAGACTTTTCATTTTGTTGTCATTCCCTAAACATTATAGTACAGCATAGCAATTATTTGTGTAGCATTTATTTTGTATTGTTTTGTATATAATAAGCAATCTGGGAATGATTTAAAACGTACAAGAGGATCATGTAAGTTACATGCGACACTGTATCATTTTATGTGAATGCTTAGAGCATCCTTGGGTTTTGGTAGCGGTCTCTGGTTGTGGAACAAATCCCAAGTCGATACTAAGGGATGACTGTGTTGTAGCAAACTCAAGTCAAACTTTGCTGAAATACTTTGTAAAAGCAGAGACATTATCCTTAATGAAACTTAGATTTTTTATCCTTGCAAAAAAATTGCTTTTCTTTGGATAAAACAAACAAGAATTGTAAAAGGGGGATATTACACATGATATATATTTTTTCATTTTTTATTTTATGATACAATTCCAAAGGCTCTGCAGTTTCCCTTGCCCCCCTCAGAATTTCTCCCCCCTCACTGATTTCTTCTGTATTTACAATAGTATAGTCCTTAATTTAAGCAGTCATTAAGTCCATCATTCCACACTACCCAGGAAGTTAGCCAAAAGGCCGAGAAGTGATTAAAAGGGGGAGAAAGTAAGTATAAATTCTATGAAATTTCTAAAGATCATTTTAAAGGAGAAATTCCTAATTTGGGGTATGTGGAGCAAACTTCCTTTAGGAACTCCATAAATGGGATGTTAAATATAATTTCAAAGATCATTAAACATGGATTAAAGTCACTGGTTTATCAATTGTATGTGTGTCAGATTAGAATATTCTATAAATATAGATGAATAGAACTATTAGATTTGTTTTTCATTTCTCCTTAAGTGAAATTACTCTGTAAGTGAAAAAGTACTATCAGTAGGGGGAAAGACCTTGCCATTATTTGATTGTATTACTCATTTGCATGCATTTTAAAAGAAAAAAATGTTCAGTTGCTTTTTAAAAAAGTATTTATGAAACATGCTGTTAATATTAAAAACTAAAATGTGTTCAGAATAACATTATGTTTTAAAATGAATGCCAATATTATTATCACTCCATTAAGAAATGGTGGAAGCCTTTCAAACATTAGAGATTTGGCAGGGCAGGAGTGACAAGAGGATTGATGTACATTTGAAGGTTGTTTAATAAAATTTGAAGTTGATTTTTTCAAATTTAAACCCTATAATTTCAAACAAATAAAAATCAGTTGCTAAATGATAAGAATCTCCTGACTGGCATTTTTTTATTTGAGCAGGTTCTCAAACCACTGGATGTGAAAACTAAATTCTACAATGCAGAGGTAAGTAAGGATTGTCCCTCCGATAGGATGCCACATCAAACATACTTTGATGTAATTCTGATGATTGCGTTCACTGTTATTGAAGTAAATTGGTATGATTGGATTATTCCTGGGAAAAGAATGGCTGTGAGATTTGAATAGAAGCAAATACTTGTAGATCTGTTTTGATCTGCTGTTTTCAACCTACGTAAGAATCATGTCTTTTTATTCTCACTTTTCTAAGTTAATTTTGCTAAGCTTCTCACTCACTTTCATTACCTGATTGTCATTTAATTCCACTTCATGATTGTTGTCGCTCCTTAAAAATACTACCAATCTTCAAGGAAAATTGAAGCACTCCCTTAATGTACTGACATGGAAAAAACCTAACAGATGAAGCTCCGCACACTTCTCGGAAATCCATCCACTCCACAGTTAGGCTGCTGCGTTTGTGAGCAGCTTCAAACATTTCTTACAAGAAATCAGTCTGGCAAAAAAGGGTTAAGAAATAAGTTTTAACATAGGAGACAGTGTTTTTTTTGTTTGTTTTTTCCTAATGAAAAAGATAGGCTCGAATTTTAAGGGAAAAGCTTTCTTATAAATATGAGGGGATAATCTTAACTATTTTAGAATAAATTTTTTAGAAAGCTGAGGCCATGTAGGTCATAGTGAGGTTTTTGCTTTTGCTTTTTTGTTTTTCCTACAATTGACTCTTTGGAGGCACATATTAAGATACTTTCATTTTTCTTTTGTTAGAACTGTACAAATGCCTTAAAGTACTTGTCAAGTAGTTTTATCATGATATTCAAAGTAATTTGCAGATGGATTTTAAAATTGCTGCTTATTCCGCAGATACAACACTAATTACGTGATCTGTAAAGTAGGAGTGAGACCTGCATCTCCGCCACACTAACAAGTTATTTTTCATTAACCTCTGTCTTTTGGAGTCCTTATCCATTTATATGTAATCTGTTTTTATAATCACAGTTATAATTTTGTTTGCTGCCTTTTTCAGTGAACACTCTATATAGAAATAATGTTAAATCTTTGCAAGCAAACTTCAAGTAAAATTTGTAGTGAAGTCCTAACCTTTTGAACATAAACATCTCTTAAAAAACAGTAGTGAGCAGATATCATTAATGTCCCTGAATGCAATATCATCCACCAGCAAACAAATACGCTTCGGTAGGAAACGGGAGGCAGCTTCTTTCTGGCCCTAAGCAGGGTTTGTAGATAGACTGTAAAAGTTAGTAAAAGACACCCGTGTTAGTGTGTAATGCTTTGTATGTTAAGCTGTGATCCTGTGTCTCAGTGACCGCAGTTAGCCTACGTTTGTCTCCAATTGCTGATCTGATAATGCTAGTAGTATGTGAATCACCTTAAGGAAAACATGTTCCCAGAGAAACCTCTACTACAGTCTTGTGATAAGAAACCTTTCCCAAGCCCTTGATGAGATCAAAAGCAAGGTTTCGAACGTTTGGTCACCACCGCCTGATACTGAACCACATGCCAGAGACTGAAAAAAACGAAATAGACACTGAGCATTTTCCTAGTTCTCAGGGGACTTAAATCTTTTATTTATATATATGTGTGACTATGTAGTCATAGTCACGCATATATATTTGTTTGAAAGGCAGGATTACAGAAAGAAAGGTCTTCATCCACTGTTACACTCCCTAGATTGCCACAACAGCCAGGACTGGGTCAGTCCAAAGCCAGGAGCCAGTGGCTTCTTGCAGGTCTCCCAATGTGGTTGCAGGGGCCCAAGGACTTGCACCATACTCCACTGCTTTACCTGGCCCAGTTAACAGGGAGCTGGATCAGAAGTGGAACATTCTAGAGGATTTGAACTGGCAACCGTTTCTGATGCTGTTGCCGTGGGCCCACTACACCACAGCACCAGCCTGGGGAAACTTAATCTAAGGAAGGAGACTGACGTGACATGACTGCATTGTGAGGCACTTCCGCCCACTCCCTGCAGTGCAGTAATTCTGTAAACATAAAGAATTTTTTTAAAAAATTTCCAGCTATACATTTGATACAGAAAGTCACCTTGGATAATTGCCTGTAAGAAATATAGCTATGAAAAAAAGATGATGAAATCTAAAGAGGAGGATAAACTCCACTGCCAGAAGCAGTCTGTCCCAGCATTGCCTGAAATGGCATGCCAAGGAACTGTGATCACTTCACAATGTTCCTGAAAAATTAGGATTCCATTATTAAGATAAATCTGGAAGTGATACTGTGTTTCTTCTAAATGTAGAGGAAAGCGCATGATCATTCTAAATACCTATCACCCGTGACGAGAAGGTACAGTGTGTGGCACTCAGACTCAGGGGAAGCAGCCGAGCGTGCCCGGCCCTGTGCAGCCGGAGTGTGCTTCTCTCGTCCGCTGGGATCAACGTTAGAGTTTTACCTTGTTAGAAAGGTGGTTTCTCGTATTTCTTCGTGTTATTTCCTGTTTACTTTCTTGTTAACTAATGCTATCTTAATTGGTAGATCTTTAGAATGCACAAATGCATTTTAATTTAAAGTTATTCTTTTTCTTTAACATTTAACTCTGATTTTTCTTTTTTTTTTTTATTTTTCCATTAGAGTGACCTCAGTTCTGTGGTAATTTGATTTTTTATTATAAATTTGTATACTTTTCCTACTTAACCACTTTTTGACTCCGCCTAATTAATCTCTCTTTACAAAAACATAGTGGAAAAACAGTTAGTTGTGAATATTACCTGTGAAGTGTATAATTCGCATTGCTATTCTATTCATTATTCTATTCTATGGGAAAAAATTAGACCAAAGATTAAACTGTCATGTTGAAACAGTTACACTCTCAGTTTTAGTATTTTGTCTTTAGGTATTTTTTTTTTAAGTCATACAAACCCTACCTAAAATAGCCTTGAGATTTTCCGTACCTTACTGTGAAATAGCCCATAATCCTTCAGTTCTCTGAAGAAACTGTATAGTTGAAATTTGTTTTCACAAAAATGTACAGTGGTTTTAGTTTGAAATTCAGATCAGGTAGCAATGACCTTTTGATCAAAATAAGCAGAAAAAGAAAAAAAAAAAAGACAGGTTTTTCCCAAGCTGGCTTAAAATCATATTTTTCAAATTTCTATTTACAAGTAAACAGCACTTGCTTGTACCACATCATCTGTATGATAACTGCTTTAGCGCTAAATTCTTACCTTAACTTGTCAAGATCAAATGATTTTTACTAACTGTTCAAACTAACTTGATTTTTCCATTATGCTGCTTATTTATCCTTCATTTTACCTAAGCTCTTCCTAAAGTTATGCAGAAAGTTGCATTTAAAATTGAAATGTGGGTCTGTGGTTATTTTTTAAAAGCAATGGATTGTTGGGATATATTTACTTTAAAAAAAAAAAGCAACAGAATAATGCTCTTAACTAGTATGTTGTTCTGAACTGTTAATTCATTACGCTTGAGCACAGGGCCCAAAGATTGAAGAATCTGCTGTATTTTAGATAATATTGCATTAAATTATCTTTCCACTTATGCAAACGGTAGCCATTTTCCTGGCTTTTATATGTTTCTCAAAAGCATAAAATTACCAGGTTTTTTGGTTATGCTTTAGTTTACATGTTATTTCTGTTAATATAGAATATTCTGAAGCTTTTGGAAAAGTTAATTCTTAAACACTCTTAGTATATCATTTTTTATGTAGATTTAAAAAAATATATATGTTAATATGTTGTACTTCAGTTACACACACACATAATAGCCAACTTGCATTAAAAAGAGATGATCGGGGAATAAAATATTTGTAAAAATTTGTTTAAGTGATACACAGTGACTTAAATATTGCTGAGTGGCATCAGTTTCAAAACTATTACTAAGTCCACAAGATCCATTTTTGTTTATTTACAAGTTGTATTATTGGCAGCTGTGATTCATATATTCTTTTTTAACCCTAAGTATACACTTAAAATAAACCCAGAAATTTAAATTTAAATCTTACAAGATTATAAAATGGGTCATTCATAGTGAATAAAATTTTAGTTAAACAGATATTTTGGGATGCACAAAATAGAGTTATCCCCCATCCATTGTTTCACGAGGTGTCAGTTGACTAACACTTGACTTTGCCCGTTAATTATATTAGGGTGAAGCTTCCTTTTTTTTTTTTACATTAATTTTGATAACTTTGATTTGCAGGCATGAACTAATCACGGTTATGGTTAATAGTGCTTCTTCATATTGTATAAGATACTTTTATAAGTAAATATTTTAAAAACCATCACACTTTGGTCGGTTTTTGTCTTTTTTTTTTTGTCTTTTTTTTTTTTCATCTCCTCAGACTGATGAAGTGTTCCTGGAAGCCCAGATTCAGAATATTACAACTTCACCCATGTTTATGGAGAAAGTCTCACTGGAGCCATCTCTAATGTACAATGTGACAGAATTGAATTCGGTGGACCAGGCTGGAGAATGGTAAATACACTCATAGAATGCTTGATCTTATTTTTAAAGGTGCTTATTTCCCTAACATTTCATTACCCTTTGTTTCTGTTTTGCTTTTCATTAATGGGCTGTTTAAAGGAAATGCTTTAGGTTCACAGAAAAATTTATCAGAAATTAAAATTACTGCATATGCATTAAGGTGGCACCTTGAACTAGTTGATGAAGCAGTATTGCTTTCTGTCCCAGAGCCCCTGCTCATCAGGATTCCCTGTTTACATGGCGCATTTTGAAGATGGGGCAAATACACACTGACATGTGCCTACTATCTTACACAGAATTGTCACACTTCCCTCATTCTCGTTTGCTCGTCCTGCTCATCCCTTGCTCCACATTGAAAAACAAAACAAAACAAAAATCTAGCCCTCTATATTGCTTGTTCAAAGCAGTTGGTCGTTGAATTGTCATAATTTAATGAGGTAAACCCATCATTGTTATTCTGCGAGTGAAAGCTCAGGTGTGGAAACAGTGAAATGAGTGAATGAGAAGGAGGTGAGTGTGAATTGGAAAGAAATACTCTGTCAGCATCAAAAGGTATATGCATCAGAAATAATGATTTAAGTTGAGGGGATTTTTCCCTTGGCAAACTTAGAAGAGGGATAAACTTTGTGTTGATGTTAACCTAACTAAGGAAGTTCTAGCTGGGGAAACCACCTGGCTGCTTCCATCAAGATTGATAGTTTACTCGTATGTTGTTTGGAAACGACAAATAAAAAAATCATAGCCTCCTTCATGCCTGCTGAGAAAAACGGGTTTTCATTGTTTCTCCAAATCTTGTCATTTGTTTTGAAAGTGATTACCTAGCTTAAAGTGATATGGCTCTTTGTAATTCTCACCTATTTTTCCTAATTATTTTAGAATAAATGAACAGAAAACTTCAGGTTCCAATTTCTATTGTTCTTTCAATTAATGAATATATGTCTAATGTGAGGTAGTATCCTAGTTTTTAAAAAATCTCAAGATTTTTTACACTAAATTCCCCCCTGTAAGTTCCCTTCCATGTTTTCTGGATCTTCACAAGGTAATTCATCCAGTTACTGTCCAAAAGGGGCAATCACAGCCATGTTTTATCTTGAAAATATCTTGGAGAGCGTTCTCCACATCTCTCTCTTTCTACCCTGTCAGTGTATCCACGTTTGGGTCAAGAGCATATTTGCAGCCAATGGACACACGCCAGTACTTGTACTGCCTAAAGCCCAAAAAGGAATTTGCAGAAAAAGCGGGCATCATCAAGGGAGTAACCGTAATAGGAAAACTGGATATAGTGTGGAAAACCAATCTAGGTGAGCGGGGAAGGCTACAGACCAGCCAGCTTCAAAGAATGGTGAGTCTGGGGGCTTTCAGGGTGAGCGGGCGTGTCTGCCACAAGCAGTGAGAACAGTGTGAAAACGTTCACAGTGCAGGAGTAAGAGAGACTGATGGTTTCACTGATGTCCCAGGTGAACGAAAAATGGTCATACGTTAATTTAACTTTAATTAAACTAACTGCTTGTCGTTTGTTCCCTCCTTTGTCATTTATGTTCACTATTCACCTGGCAAAGGAGTCATTAAAGTTTTCTTGAACCTGTTAAGCTTATTACATTCTCCTACTCAGATTATATCTTTTGTAAGTAAGTTGTTAGAAATCAGAGGTATCTAAAATTCATGAAGTGAGCCTAATCTGAATTATGAGCAGTAGTTAGATACCCAGTTTCTTCAGATAGTAGGGATACCTTCCAGCTAATTGTATTTTTTTGTACTAATAAAAATTTCTAGCAGATTCTCTCATTATGTCAGATTCCCTGTCCTCCCATATTCTAAAATTTGCTTTACTTTTACCATTCAAAGTAACAAAATGGAAAAAAAAAAAAAAAGATGATGGCCAATAATCATCTCTGTCACAGCTGGGCCTACTTTAATATGCAGCAATAAATTGCCATCCCCACATGACATGTTGTAAGCCTTGATGTGTCTGTAGTCTCTTCTTGCCCATGTATTTTGTGAAAAAAACACGAGTTTCTGCCTGGCTCATGCCAGTGCCCTCCCTCTGCCTGTTTTACCTACTTAGAGATGTAGATGCTGTATTATTTCTGGAGAGCATCCTTTTAACATAAGCACCTTCGCTAATTACTTACCTCTAAGCTTTATGTTAACTGTATGAACATGTAACAGTTCTAACCCAGACAAAACAAGCCAGCAAGGCTGGTCCATACATAGTGACTGTGAAAGCAGAGTAAGGAAACCGTACAAAGAATGAGAAATATTTTCACAGAACAAGAGCTTGGAGACATTACAGTCACCAAAAGTGGAAGATTTTTCATAGATGCATGTTATCCATGTTTCTGATTCTCCCAGGCTCCAGGCTACGGGGATGTGAGGTTGTCTTTGGAAGCAATCCCAGATACTGTCAACCTAGAAGAACCTTTTCACATCACCTGTAAAATAACAAACTGCAGGTAATGCTAGTTTTTATGGGTAGATGTCATTGCTTCCTTATGTAACTAGGGAAGAAATGTTTTGAACGTCTCCTTTTTGGTTTCCTCTTCACACAAAAGTTTCTCTGATTTTGATCTTGAATACAGTGGGGCTTTAGAAAGTTCATGGAAAATGTCATGATGAAAAAAAATATAGATTTCTTAATTTTCTATACCAAGCTGAACTTGCCATTTTCTTTTTAAAAAAGTCTTATTTACTTGTTTGTTTAAGAACAAAGACAGAAATTTTTTTTTCCATCTGGTGGTTGACTCCCAAAATACTCAGCGCCACTAGGACTGGAAGAGGCAGAAACCAAGATCTGGGGTTGCCAGGCAGGTCTACCAAATGGATGGCAGGCAGCCCAGCAGCTGAGCCAACAGCTGCTGCCTCAAGTAGTAGGAGACTGGAGTTGGGATCCAGTATGGATGCGGGTGTCCCAAAGGATCCAGCATGGATGCAGGTGTCCCAAGGGATCCAGTATTGGTGAGGGTGTCACAAGGGATTCTATATGGGTGAGGATATCCCAAGGGATCCAGTATGGGTGAGGGTGTCCCAAGAAGCATCACTGACTGCTGTGCCAAATGCCCACCCAGGCATATTACACATCTGTGAGGCCATTACTGTACTGGGCATTTTTCTGTATTTCATTTTTATATTACACTCTATGGCCTGGGTTTCATCTTTCATGCAAGGAAAATAAAAATACCTAATGGAGGTTAAATAACATTTTTCAAGCTCAAAAAGCCGGACAAGATAAGTGCCAGAAAGTGAAACCAGGGATTGGGTTTATAGTCTATGTTTATGTTTATACTTCTTGCATTTTAAAATAAAATAGGGAGCCAAGAATGAAGGAGGGAAAAACAGACAGGAATAGTGTCAAATCAGCCCAATTTTATTGTCAACCTTTTGATTATTTTTTAAGGGAAGGGGGTAATTATTTAACTTTCATAGTACCTTGAGTTTGATTCTGAGCTGCAGCACTGACTCCACCCTGTTGCTAACACAGACCTAAGAGGCAGTGCTGATAGCTCAAGTGATTGGGACCCTGCCACCATGTGGGAGCCCTGGAGTGAGAACTCCATTTCCAGCTTTGAGAGTGAACAAGGGTGTGAAAGTGTGCTCCCTGCCACCCCCAATACCGATCTCCATCTCTTATGGTATTTGTAAAATGTGCATACTTCCATTAAAGTTCCTTTTTATAAGATTTACTTATGTGTATGGGAAAAATAGATCTACACAGAGGAGGGGCAGAAAGATCTTCCATCTGCTGGTTCACTCCCCAAATGACTGCAAAGGCCGGATCTGAGCCAATCCAAAGCCAAGAGCCATGGGCTTCTTCCTGGTCTCCCACGAGCTTTGAACCATCCTCCTCTGCTTTCCGAGGCCTTAATAGGAGGAGCTGGTTGAGAAGTGGAATATCCAGAAGACAAACCAGTGCCAATTTGGTATGATCAGCCAATTGAACCATCTTGCCAGCCCCAAAATTCCTAACATGTTTAAGCTACACTGTTGAGATCAGCAATAAGCAGAAAGTAATTTAAAATGGCGATACAGTGAGCAAACCCAAGTACTGTCTACTCTTTGAATCTTGAGTCATTTTCTTAGCTATCTGCATGGTCAAGGAACATGGATTAATTATCAAAAATCCTGTCAGAGTAAGAATACAGGGCAACAAAATTAGACAGAAATGGCTCAAGTCTCCCATAAAAATGTACAAGCTCTTAGATCAGCATCAAGAGGCCAACCTCCAGGCCTGTAGATGCCATCTTAAGTGACATAGAAACAATACAATAACTTTTCAGTTCACTTCTTGGTTTTTATTCTCCTGGCATCCAAGAAGCAAATTTAATCACCTTAGTGGAAAACATACTGCAGTATCTCTCTGTGAAATGAACAAGATTTAGCCTGTTTTTCTGATTTCCCCCAGCAGTGAAAGGACTATGGATCTGGTTTTGGACATGTGCAATACCAGTTCAATCCACTGGTGTGGTATTTCAGGAAGACAGCTGGGGAAGCTGCATCCGAGCTCCTCCCTCTGCCTCGCCCTCACTCTGCTCTCCTCTGTACAGGGACTGCAGGTAGGTCCTTGGCAAAATCGTCAATCCTTGGGGGCTGGTGAACCTAGAGTCGTTTGTGATAGCCGTATCTTCTCAAAACTGAGGCCCTTGTGTTTCTCTCAACAGAGTGTCTCCGGCCTGAGACTAACAGATACATTCCTAAAGAGAACATACGAATACGATGACATTGCACAAGTCTGTGTGGTATCTTCGGCCATTAAAGTGGAAAGCTGAAGAACATTTCCAGTGGTAGATGTTTCCTTTGTTTCTGTGTTTTTGTTACCTTTGTAAAATAATGAGGTCATCAGGCAGCGTAAGCATATATCATTTAAATTTCTTTTGTGTAGGACAGTATATTAAATATCCGTTTTGAACAGATCTGCTGATTCACTCTTGTGAGTTATATTCTCAATCAACATTTGTATATGTTTTACACATAATCTGTTTCACTAGATGTTCTTGAGACTGCAGAAGCAATATATTTGAGGCCATTGTCCTTCATCTGTAGTATAGCAGTCGGCAAACTTCTTATGTAGAAAACAAGACACTAACTATCCTCAGAGCTCTGCAGGTCATTGTGGTTTCTGTCTCAGAGCCTAAAGTCTGCAATTGTAGCACAAGAGCAACCAGTGGGCACCAAAGTGCAGCAGTGTTTACAGAACCACGTGATTGATTGGATTCAGCCTGTGAGCCAGTTTGCTGCCATCAGTGGAGAAGACACAGTTGTTCCTTACAACGCTAGCATTCTCAAAGCACTTTATTTAGAATTAGGTGATTCCAAGTATGTTTTTCCCCTAGCTCCTTAGCCAACAAATGAGATTTGTTTTCAATTGGGCTGGTCCTCCTTAATCTTAGCTAACACAATATGAGCTTTGCTGGTTATTTTCAAAATCATTGAGTTGGTATGTATAGGTTTCATACTCATATAACTTTAAGGTCCTGAACAACAGATAAGAATTGGTTTTCTCTATTAGGCTGTCAAATATTCAATTAACCTTCAACTGAGAAGCCTACTAATTTTTCAATTCAAAGCCAAAAACCTCATGTTTTTTTTTTTTCTCATTGAAAAATAGGCATTTATTTTCATAAAACATATTTGAAGGCCTCCCAGCATCTGATATTTTATTGTAAAATTCAAATCATGTGTTAATGTTATATAACTTTCTTTCTGTTTAATTGCATTGATTTACTTTGCCATGAACAAAACAATGGGAAAGTTAGCTGTTGTCAACTTTGCAACATAAATATAACAAGTTTCAATATTTTGTCAAGAAAACACAAGATTATGCTGTTAGATAAAAGCTGTCCTGTCTTGGTAAGTTAAAACTTTCAGAATGTGTATATGATTTCTTAAGTGTACAAGTGCCATCAAGTCAAACACAAAATGCTTTTTCTTAAGTGCATAATTATTTATTGCCATGACAGACTGGTTCAGAATGAAAGCTATATTCAGAAGGGTTGCCCTCACATTTGAGTAATAGTTAACGAAATATGTGCAAAATGAAGTACAAGCAGTGTTAATCTGAAGTCTGTCTGTCTGTCTTTCAAACTGATAAAGGTTGATCAGATAATAAATAAGACCTTATCACCACTGCACTATTGCCATTTTTGTCAAACATCTTCTCATGACTGAACCTTCGGTTTGAAATCAGAGAGCAAACGTATATAATAGTACACATACTTTGATTTAATTAAATTCTCTTCAGTTTATAGGCAATAACCTAAATGCATATCATTCATACTTAAGTGGTTAGATAATGCCATCTTAGAAAAGATTTGATTAAACTTCTTATAAAATTAGATGAACAATTTGGTACAGTAAAGGACATGTTCAGTTTTAGCATGACATCGCAACAGCTGCAGCTACCACAATGAAACGTGAATAATGGGGGACAAGTATCCCTAGGAGGAATGGATATAAAGATTGGCAATAATGCCTTCTTATTTCTGTAGTTAAACAGCAATTACATTTTGGTCTTTTCCTATAATTTTAAGAACAGTTAGCACAATCCAACTATACACAGCTTTCTTTCAAGAAATAGCTTGCAATGCAATTACTAAGAAATGATGAAAGCAAATGAAGAACAAAAATGCCTCAAATGAAATGGAAATCCAGGGAGATGGACAGAGAGCAACTACACTGAATTTGTTACACAGGGTCAATTATCAATGAAATTCAGCAAGTCACTAAAAGAAATGTATCAGTTCCCATCTATATAAAAACTGGCTACTGTAACTACAGATTTTAGCACAGGAGCCATTATTTTGAAAGCCTTTATCTGATTTCATATCATGCTAGCACTGGTCACCTTGGAGGGGGGAGCTGTGTCCTCTTTTTCCACTTTTTGGAGCGACTGTCCACAGTGCGTGGTGTTCCTCTTGCAGTACACTCCTCTGTCACTTCTGATCTGTTCATTCACAGCTCCGCTCTCTCCTGCAGGCAGCTAGAGACTTATTCTGCAGGTCTTACTCTCTGTGTTGTTCATCAGAAAGCATTTCTAACGCACTCAAGAGAGTTATGCTTCCTGATCTGAACTTGAGCAACACTGCGTAAGAAAATTAAGAATCGTTTTTGCTTTTTGATTACAGTCATAACTTGCATATGATTAGTTCATCATTCCTTCTAACACTTAAAACACTAGGAGTTGAGTATAACTTTATGAAACACTAAGATGGCTGTGGTGGAATATAGTTTTTAATTTCAAAGGTACTAAGGTTTAAGTCCTGCTCTTTGCTGGTCAACCTCGTAGGGTCATTTAGGTCTCGTTGTACCCTGAAGCCAAGTGCTTAGGCATTAGATAGCCAAACTGCAAAGCCAATTGCAACCTCGCATTGCTCTAAGTTGGTGTCCGTGGACCTGCACCAGAGCTTCCAATTGCACTATTTAAAATGGCAATCCTGAGGCTTCTTGATGGGGCTTACTAAGGCAGAAGTGAAGGTCTGGTCCTGAATCTGCATTTTAAATTCCTCAGGTGAATTTTGCAGTGAACTTTTAAACCTTTCATGTAATCTCACAAAAGGGAGGGGGAAAAAAAGCTGACTAACTGGAGTCTAACAAGAACAGTTCTAGTCGGTCCCGATCATCCACTTACTGATTTAATGTTATACCACTTTCTTTTTCAGTTTTCTCTTACATTCGTGAAATGATTACATTAGCCTCATTTCACCAATTTCATGATTAATAAACAAAAAGAAAATTCCATTTGGAATTAGAACCGGATCAGCCATCACTAGTTAGAGCCATTAACACTTAATGCAATTTCTCTCTAACCAGTTGACATCCAGTGCATGATAAAATATGTTATCTCCTGTTTAAATGATTTTAGATTAAACTTAAGACTGATAATGCCAAGCCAAATCTAACAGAACTGAATAAACAAGCAAAGTTAGTGATAAGAGCTTATGGTGATCCTTAGTTAAAAAAAAAAAATGTTTATGGACACATAATTGAATCCCACTTATAAAATTATTGGAGCCAGGGCTGTGGCTCATTTGAATACAGATAGATGAGAATTTGATCATTTCCAAGATAAAGTCACCACCAGGGGAATTAAGAGTTTTAGCCCTGATGAAACCAGTCCCATTACAGATTTCTAAATGTATTTTTATTATGTACTTAGCGTAGCTGGCCTTGTGAGTGTTGTCACTTTTGGAGCCATGCAGACAACCTGAACATTCCACCTTCACTTTCTATACATTCACATTCTCTGGATTTTTATCTTTCTTGCTACAATAGCCCTTCCACCCAATAACTGCTCTACCAGCAAATAGATACCTTGTCACTCATCAGAATCAATAGCATTTAAAAACCCTGGAACCTAGGATAAATCTTTTCCACTGATCTTCCTTCTCAGAGCTAAATAGTAAGAGTCTGCTTTTCTGAACTGCTGCTCAGTAGCAGATATTTCTTCCGAACCAGTGGGAAATATTTCCCTTAGTAATCTCCCCTCAAAAAAAAAAATAATAAATCCACTTAATGGAATTCGGAGCAGTGGAATTCACCAACAAACAGCCCCACTGTCCAATGAATACACTCTGCTGTTAAGTCTCATATACACACATGATGGTGGTACAGGTTTGGAAATGGAACCTCGTCCCAGGACTCCAGGGGATTGATTCATTTCCAAAGGAGTCATGTGATGTTCAGGTGTGTTTTGTGATAAATCTATCATCTGAACAGATTTCTTCTTTAAGAATATACACAAGAGGCTCCCCTCCTTGGTTTTCAAACATCAGATACGGTGCTTGAGGGGCAGAGCGCTATGTACAGATGGATCTCGGGCCGCCGTGGGATCAGGAGTGTTCCTCGGCGCTGCTGCTGAAGGATCGGCTCCGGATGTGATTCCTCAGCTGCTCGATGAGCTCAGGGTTCTGCTGCTGTATCTGCTGAGCGAACTGCTGTCCCCTACAGTCAGAAGGCAGAGCGGGGAGGGATCAGGGCCTTGCCACTCACACAACATGCATGCCAAAAGAACTTCAAGAGATGTGGGGAATGCCCACGGTGAACTTCTCCTATAAAGACAACTCGTGGAACCATGACTTTAAGCTGCCAGCCAGCCAGTGCTTCGATGTTCAACATTTTTACAGTGCAGCATCCTGGATGACAAGGCACCCGTGACTTCTGACATGTTTGCCTAAGATCAAGTGAAGAAACAACCCCCAAGCTAAAGCAGGAGTGCCTGAAATGCAAGACGTCTACACCTCTGTTTCATCACAAACAAGCAAAGGGCTACGAAATGTTTGCTTTTCTTCTGTATGCTCTGATACAATGTTCTTACAGCCAAGTCTGACTACTATGGGATGTCTACAGGGCCTTACATAACTGATTCTTTTTTTTTTTTAAGATTTATTTTTATTATTTTTATTGGAAAGGCGGATATGCAGAGAGGAGAGACAGAGAGGAAGATCTTCCGTCCGATGATTCACTCCCCAAGTGAGCGCAACGGCCGATACTACGCCAGTCCGAAGCCAGGAGCCTCTTCCGGGTCTCCCACACGGGTGCAGGGTCCCAAAGCTTTGGGCCGTCCTCGACTGCTTTCCCGGGCCACAGGCAGGGAGCTGGAAGGGAAGCGGGGCCGCCGGGATAGAACCGGCGCCCATATGGGATCCTGGGTGTGCAAGGTGAGGACCTTAACCACTTGTGCCACCGCGCCGGGCCCCATAACTGATTCTTTAAAAGGAAAAAAGAAAAAATTGAACACATTTTCCTGACTTTAGGACCACAAATGCAAGTGTGCGACATCACTATAATTGTGTCTCTAAAGATCACTCAGTTGCAGTATTTTAAGTTATTATACGATCATGATCACTCACAAGCAGAAAATAGCTCGTGTGCCTTTAAAAAATGCCAACAATACAGCATCGGATATAAACAAAGTATCTCAAGAAATCTGGGTGGAAATAAAGATAATACAATCAAGTAATAAGAAAATGTAAGAGGTTCCTCTAGTTATCATAGGCACTGAAAAGGTTTGGATAAAATTGATTTCTGGGTCCAGTGCGGTAGTCTAGAAGCTAAAGTCATCACCTTGCAAGCACCAGGATCCCATATGGGCAACGGTTTGTGTGTCTCGGCAGCCCCGCTTCCCATCCAGCTCCCTGCTTGTGGCCTGGGAAAGCAGTCAAGGACGGCCCAAAGCCTTGGGAGCTCCTGGCTCCTGCCTTCAGATCAGCACAGCTGCGGCCATTGCAGCTGTTTGGGGAGTTGAGTCAGCGGATAGAAGATCTTCCTCTCTATATATCTGACTTTCCAATAAAAATAAATCTTTTAAAAATATATGTATTTGTTGTAATCCTTATGAGCAATATGTGATTACTCATGGCCCATGTCTATGCTAGTGAGTCATAGTAGGATTTCCTCTTTTTTCTTCTACTTACTGTGCCTGGATAATTTTATCGATTAGAGTGCTAAGTGTAGGATTGTGAAGCAAAAAGAAAGTATGACATTGTAATAATTAGAGGGAACAAAGGAGACAGAGACAGCAGAAAGAGGAACTCCCTGCTTCTAATCCTGTGTCATAAATTATGGGAAATTATTCACTTTATATAAATAAAATGCAATTAATAAAGAAATAAAAATATATTTTCACCTAAATTAACAGGTATTTTTAAGTAGATATTTTGCTTTCATCTATATCTGAGCTGGTAGGTCTGCTGAAGAAATTTTTCTTAGAAAACAAGTTTTTTGAAAAACAATGCTTTATATAAGTGATCAAAATATGTTTGGACATAACCTGTCTCATTGTTTCTATTGCTTCTTTCCATTCCTTCAAAAGTACCAGATGACTAGGACAGGCGATGTGGCCAATCCAGCTGTTTGGTGGTACACCTGCTAAGGCAGAAGCTGGCCCAGGTGCCCATGTTCCTGGCCCTAGGTGAAGACCTGAGCGGAGTCCTGGCTCCTGGCTTCAGCTTGGTTCACTGTGGGAAGCTAAACAGTGAATAGAAGAGCTCGCTCTCACTTCCTTACCTTTCAAATAAAGATAACAGTATTCATAACCCCCTCCTAAGAAACTTTGGAACCTAATGTCACATTGACAAAAACAAATAGCAAAATATTATGCTGCAAATCAAAAGAATGTTTAGCCATGGCTGTCCTGAAACCCTTAGTAAGTCACAAGCCTGCACTTCAGTTCTCCAGCTACTGTATGTTATTGATACTCTTTTGCCACTAATATCTGTCCCTCACCTGCCTTACTAACACCAAAATAAAAATTTTTTAAACAAAAGGAGAACTCTTCTCATATTTGGAGCCTAAAAAAGCATGTGAAACGCCCATGATAGCTCTTCTGAAGAGGCAGAGCTGACCAGACCACCCAGCTGGGCCTTCTGAATTCCTGCCTGTTAGTATGAAAAATGATTCCAGGTTTTGAGATTCTTTCTGACGTTAAGGTGGCCAATGCTATTAACAATAACAGGTGCAGATTTGAAAAGAAAACCCTAGCCCCTCACCTTGCAGAAATACAACACTTACGCTTGGATGAGGCTAGACAGGTCAGTGAGGCCCCCGACCCCGGCAGCAGGTCCCCCAATGGCGTTTGTCATCATTCCCGACATCCTAGGGTATGGGAGAGACTCAGTGCTGAAGTTCCATTGTGAACAAGCAGAATAAGCCAAGGAAAAGTCTTCAATGCAGGCATGCCCTCATCATGCAAGACGTAACATCACATATGTGTGGTTTTTCAGTTTTAACAGAGTGGCCTTTGGGAAATTTCATCAATTTTGAGCTGCTGTTCTCAGATAAGGTCCAGCAAATGAAAGGAGGAAAAGTGCAATTAAAAATCTTTCTATATACTTACAGTTGTTGAACTTGAGGATTTTGCATTAAACTTGCTGCCTGGAATGGAAACAGCATCTTCCAGTAAAAGCAGTTAATATTTAGGAATCTTTAATGAAGTTTTTTTTAAGTAGAGGAATGAAAGCTAACTCATATATATGTGTACTAGAATACTGTGCTTATTAAGTTGATTGGAATGTTTTTAAATAAAAAAAAAGGAAGGTAGTAGAAAAGGTAGCATTAAAAAAAAAATCATTGCAGGTACAAATGTTGTGGCACCACATGTGAAGTTGCCACCAGGCACACCAGCATCCCATTCGAGCACCAGGTCGTATCCAGGCTTCTTGCTCCACTTCTAATACAGCTCCCTGCTAGTACACCTGAGAAAGCAGTAGATGCTGGCCTAGATACCTGGACCCCTGCCACCTACAAGGCAGATCCAGATGAGGCTCCTGGACCCAGCAGATCTCGCTCTCTCTCTGTCTCCACCCTCTCCTCTCCACTCTGTAGTTGTAAATAAATAAATAAATCTCAAAAATGCAAATAAAGATTACTGACAGCACTATAAGGATATTGACAATAGCTTGCTTACTACTGCTGATCAAGTCAAGCCAAAAAAAAAAAAAAAAACCAACTAGAAACTTTAGAGCATGTTTAAATAATCTATCATTCTGAGGATCCTCTCCAAAAGAGTATGCTTTAAAGATGAGACTGTGCCCCTTGGGACTCTGAGTGGACGGGAAAGCCTTTGGCAGCAGGTTGGACACAATGGCAGGCCTCTCTGCTTCCTTCACACATGCAGCTCTGTCCAACCCCACTGATAATCTCGGTCAGCCTGTTGAAGAGTAACAAAATACGCTTTTAAACCCCTGCCTCTGCAGCTCCTACATGGTGCTCACACACCTGAACTTGGCACACGGCTCTACAGAACCTAAGCCACAGTAACATGCCTGAACTTCAAAGAATTCTCTTTTTACACTGTGTTACAGAGGCATAAATTGGGTCCTGGAAATGAGTAGCCATGTTTGAAAAATGTCATAGTCAGTAACAAAGAGATGTTCAAGCACTACGTAGGTGGAAAGCTGACTAAAATTTGATGGGGTGGAAGAAACCTACCAGTTCCTCAAAAGACCCGGTCTCACTTGGAATGAGTCATCTGTGCATTTCAATTCAGTTGAAACTTTAATGGAAGCAAGGCATTTCTCGAAGAAAACAACAGTGGAAAAGGCACTGAATTCTGCCTTCAACATGCACAGCAAATGGTAATATGGCTCTCCCCCCACGCATACAGCCACTCAAGGAGCCTTGCGGGCCAGGGCTACATCCTAGATCCACTCAAGCAAAGGCACCATGCAGCGTGAGTAACTTCAAAAGGTCCATAAATCCTTTTGTCAGCTTGAAGAACCGAGTGCTTCACAAAGGATGAGCCAAAAGTTTGTGGAAAATGACTCTTGTTTTAAAAAACAATACTTCGGGCCCAGCGGCGTGGTCTACTGGCTAAAATCCTCGCCTTGAACAAGCTGAGATCCCATATGGGCGCCGGTTCTAATCCCGGCAGCTCCACTTCCCATCCAGCTCCCTGCTTGTGGCCTGGGAAAGCAGTCGAGGACGGCCCAAGGCTTTGGGACCCTGCACCCGTGTGGGAGACCTGGAAGAGGTTCCTAGATCCTGGCTTCGGATCAGCATAGCATGGGCCATTGCGCTCACTTGTGGAGTGAATCATCGGACGGAAGATCCTCCTCTCTGTATATCTGACTTTGTAATAAAAATAAATAAATCTTAAAAAAAAATACTTGGGATTCCAAAAATTTTTGTACCAAAACAGTTATCTTTTAATTCCATTTTTCCATAAACTTTGTAAAGTCCCCCGAATATTGAGAATTATATGAACTCATATATTGAGAGTTAAACTCTAAGATATAAAATCAGGCAGACAAAACCAGGACGCACACTTAGGGAACAACTACAGCCAAAATCCTGAGATCTTAACTGTAATTGATCTGCTAGGATCACCTGCAGGTGGATTTTATGCATGCGAAATTTTGGTGATCCCTATGCCAATCTGTGAAAAAAATGGTTTTCTCTCCAGGGAGAATGAACTTCTTTGTATGTACACAGATTTTGTATACAATTTGGCCTTCCTGTAGTTGGTACAGCACCTTCCCATGGAGGTACAGGGAAAGGTGAGGGACCTTTGCCATAGCCTGGTATCTACACTCTACCAACCACTGTCTCCACCACCAAACCTTCTTGACTTGTTTCCAAAACTTTTGGAAGTAATAGCTCTAGGCAACACAAAGGGAGTAGAACAGAATGAAAAGTACACTCACCATACTAATGAAAGCTGGATTATTTATCAGGCTAGCCATGTCAAAGCTCAATCCAGTTCCTGTCTGTAAAAGAATTATATCTGAGAATCCGGCAAACCATTTCCTTTTAATTATAATAAATGATAAATGCTTTAAAAATGCCTCACTCATTTGGCATTAACAACTTACAGGACTGGACACTTCTCTCAACTTCTGTTCTGCTATTTTCAGATTTGACTTATAGGAATCATTTTCAGGGTCAAGATCTAATGCCTTTTGGTAACTTGTAACTGCTTCTTCAAATTTATTCATGGCAGTGAGGGCCAGCCTGATGGAAATATATGGTACAGAATTCCAAGATACATGATTAAAGAACATCAAGGATTCAGTCAAACATCTGCCTTGGTATTCATTCCAGTGCAAGTAACTATTTATTGTACAACAGTACCCAGGAATACTACAAAGATGCTCTCTGCTTCCAAGAAATCTCTCTAATTCTGTAGCTGACAAACTATGATTCTGAGGGCATTATGAACTTGAAACTTGCTGACGAACCTTGCCAACTGTTCTATTTTTTAATCCAAATACATGAAACAACCTGCTTTATTTTTAGAATTCGCTCCATAAAGACGTGTGCTAATAGTGCTGTGGCCATGTAAATGCTACCACCATTCTTAAGGACTTCCAGCTCTATTTGTGCTTCAGATGTCTCACATTCTTCCTTGTTACTAACAGAGACTTCAGGCAGCAATAAATATCCAAACTGCCACTTGAGGATTGGCACTGTACCACCTATACAGCAGGCATCTCTTATGGGCACCAGTTCAAGTCCTGACTTCCAATCCAGCTCCATGCTAATGGCCAGGGAAAAGCAACAGGAAATAGAACAGGTGCTTGCGCCCTGCACCCATATGGGAAACCTAAAAGAAGCTCCTGTCCTAGATTCATCCTGGCCCAGTCTTGGCTTTTGGAGCCATTGTGGAAGTGAACCAGCAGATGGAAGAGTCTCTAACTCTACCTTTCAAATAAACGAATAGATCTTTTAAGAGGAAAGAAAGAAAACCTGCCATTTTTAAAAAGCTGGGAGCACAAGATGGCAGATGGCTTGCCAAACAAGACATGTTTCTTGTTAAGTAGATAGCACACATTATCATTGATATGACATTATTATCCAGACACAAGTCAGAGTTGTTCATTAAATTTCAATGTTTATCTACACTTAGTTGTAATTTATGAGAAAATTACTTCAAAACTAAATAATAACATAAGATGTACTGTGAAATGCTATTGAGGTTTTTAATTTCAGGTTGATGTTTTCCTTATTTTTAAAGTTTTGTATTTCTTTTATATATTTGAAAGAATGAGAGACAGAGAGACTTCCTGTTTACTGGCTCACTCCCCAGATGCCCACAACAATACCAGTGCCGAGTCAAGCATAAGCCAGAGGCTGGGAACATAATCTGGGTCTCCCACATGGGTGGCAGGGACCCAAGTACTTGAGCTGTCACCGGCCATCTCCCAGGCTCTGCATATGTGGCAAGTTAGAGTTGACATTCAAATCCAAACAGAGCTGACATTCAAATCCAAGCAGTGTAATATGGGCTCCAAGCACCCCAAAGCACTATCTGAAATATTTCATCAAATGCCTGCACCTCTGGGTTTACTTTTAAGAAATTAATACAATTCTTTCTTTTCTGATTTGCCTCCCAGACTTTTGATCTGTAAAATACAGTGTCTAGTGATGAAAACTTCGTACAGTCTGACTCGTTTTCTGCCGACCAACCGTGAAAACGACTTTATCAGAATGCTCAATTCATCAGCAGTCAATAAAGATTTACTGAACACCTGCCAGACTTTAAATCTTATTGTAGAATCTGAAAAGAAGATGTCATTCAACCTGGGGGGAAAAAGACCAAAAAAAGAAAAAAAAAAAAACCACAAGTAAGGAGGGAAATGGCATTAAAAAGAATAGCTAGCAGGGATGCTCATAGAGGGCCACACCAAAAAGAATTGCAATGATGACAGCAGACTCCGGAAAAGCAAAGAAATATTCAAATGGAAGAAGAAGCAAACACAAAAACCCCAAGAAAGATAAAAGCTGGATGTAATTAAGATATAAAACAAGGGTAAGAGAAGTAGCACCTTGGTTCGATTTGCTAATCCTTCCTCTGCAAGCACTGGCATCCCATATGGTTGCCGGTTCGTGTCCCAGCTGCTCCATTTCCCATCCAGCTGCCTGCCTGTCGCCTATGAGAGCAGTTGAGAATGGCCCAAAGCCTTGGGACCCTGCACCCACTCACCCACTTGGAAGACCTGGAAGAAGCTCCTGGCTTCAGTTTGGCTCAACTCTGGCCTTTGAGGCTATGTGGGGAATAAGCCAGTGTATAGAAGCTTTTTCTGTCTCTTCTTCCCTTTGTAAGCCTGCCTTTCCAATAACAATAAATAAATCTACAACGAGACAAAGAGATTTACCTTGCAAAAATACTTAAGGGTAGATGAGGAAGGACTACAGAAAACAGTATGGAAAAATGATGGGAGAGAGTAATGAGGTCGTACAGGACCACTGGAATTTAGATCTGAGTTGACTCACAATGGAGTGACATGCTCTGAGTTATGCCTTAAAGCTGACTCTGCTTTCATGGAGAAGATCAACATGGGCAGGGTTGGGTGGAGATGGGGTAGCGTGGAAGCATAACCAGTTAGAAAGCTTCTGAGGTAACTCAAGTGATGGATAGTCATTTGAACTGAAGATATAAGGAAGAGAGTGCCCGACACCTGGGCTCAAAATGTATGTAGAAACAGGACTTGCTAAGAAATTCAATGGGCCAAGTATAATAGTAATAAAGGATGATGCTTTGTTAATAGAACACTGGGTATATTAGTGATGCTACAATGTACTCTTGTGGGAAAGACTGAAGAAGGGAAACAAAAGTTCAGTAAATATTCAAACATGAAGATGAAAGCAGTAGAATATGTGAGAATGAATTCTATATAAAGACCTTAACAGCCCCAACAAAATGTTTATACTCAATTCTCATTTACAAAAGTTGTGTTCTGGGCCTGGCATGGTAGCCTAGCAGCTAAAGTCCTCAGCCTTGCACACGCTGAGATCCCATATGGATGCTGCTTCTAATCCTGGCAGCCCTGCTTCCCATCCAGCTCCCTGCTGGTGGCCTGGGAAAGCAGTCGAGGACACCCAAAGCCTTGGGACCCTGCACCTACCCGCATGGGAGACCCAAAAGAAGCTCCTAGCTCCTAACTTTAGATGGGCTCAGCTTGGGGAGTGAATCATCGGACGGATCTTCCTCTCTGTCTCTCCTCCTTTCTGTATATCTGACTTTCCAATAAAAATCAAAATCTTTTTTAAAAATTGTGTTCTATAAAATCCTGTAAGACTCTTGTCAAGTTTTCCTCAATTAGCCAATATGTTACTTTGTTTTCTATGTGTTTCTGTTTAAAGAAACTTTATATATATGTATGTAGTCGATTTGCTAGCACTAACCAATGACACTAACTCATATCTGAATTCATTTTCTCCACGAAGCAAATTAACAGCCTTTATGCACTTAAGAACACCAGAAAACACTTTGGCTTGTATTTTGGGACTATTGTAAATAGGGAAATCAAACAAAAGTTGCAACAAGGCATTAAATAGACGGGCCCAGCATGAGGTCTAAGACAAGGAAACAGGGTCTGGTCCCCTTATTCAACTTCAGCTGACACGTTTCTCAGAAGATAAATTTTTCACTACTTCTAAATATCCATGAATGACCATCCAGGAGCAATAAATACGAATTGGTAATTAAAAATACACTTTAGCAAATAGGTTAATTCACAAGTGCAGAATCTTGAAAGAATGAGTGTTGATTTTAGATGGAATTGAGTGGGGGTTTTCCTCTTTTATAATGTTTCTTAATATACAGAGAACGGATTTCATTGATTTCATAGGTGCAGTTTTATAGATTAAAAGCATGGGGTAGGACGGAATCAGAAGAGAAACAGAGGATTCGATCCTGACATGTACCATATTTACAAGTGGCAGAAGAGGAAGCGACTAGAAAAAGACTGGAAAAGGAGCTCCCGGTGAAGTAAGACAAAAACACAGCAAATACAATGTCATACAGTCCTGAGGGATGAAGTGTCCTGAGAACAAGTTCATTGTACCAAATACTAAACTAGGAGGTGGGATCAGGATACAGATCTCAACACTAGTAAAGTACAGACAACCCTGACCTTGAATTGAGATGTTTTGGCACAGTGACTGCATGGCCAGCGTTCTCCAGAGACACAGACTCATCAGCACATGGGGACAGACCTAGATTTAGTATGAGGCACTGGCTCACACAGTTATGGCCCCTGAGAAGTCCTATGAACTACAGGCAGCAAGCTGACGGTCCAGGGAAACAGGTGTTGCCATTCCAGTCCTGACCCTAAGACGTGAGAGCCAAGGCATCAACGGTTTAAGTCAAGTCCATACACCAAGGCTTAAGGACGAGGACTGCTGAAATGCAAGGACTGAGGAAGACAGATGCCCCAGCCCCCAGATAGGGAGCAAACTTCCTTCTTTTTTTTTTTTTTTTTTTCCTGTATGCAGGCTGTGAGAGAATCCGGTGAGGTCCCCACACATTGTAGAGAGTGGTGTGTTCTCAGTCTGACGTGGCCTAGGCAGGGCATCAGACAGGGACATGCAGCTAAACCAGCACCTAAGCCATGGGCACCGCCCACATCCCATCACCTTCCACTGCCAATTCAGCTCGACTGGAGACTCGGCACACTCAGCCACTCGGCAGCCAGACCTCATTGCCTCCAAGCACCAAACACCTTGCGGGCCACCAAAGGCCTTCTTGGTGTCCCACCCCAAAGGCTGCCTCCTCCGAATATTCAGTCAGGACTTGCCCTGAGCACCACCCCTTAGCTTGAGTAAGAGCAGTTCTTGGCATCCTCAAGTCTGACTGCCCCTTTCTTTGCCTTTGAATAAATGCTACTTGGCTGTTCACCTGTCTGTACCTCCTGGTTCTACTACTGCCAGTAGGAAGCCCACAACCTGCACTCCATTTGGCCAGGGCTGAGCCCTGAGTCCAGCTGAGGCTCTTGATCCCAACGACATGATTTGTGGTCTCTAACGCACAACATCCCCAGGTCAGAGTACTTGGGTTCGGTCCCCAGCCCTGGTTCCTGATTCTAATCTTCCGCAGACACAACCAGTACATCGGCACCAGAAAATAGCAGTTGCTGCCACTCATATGGGAAACCTCGACTAAGTTCCCAGTTCCCAGCTTCAGTCCCAGCACAATCCTGCCACTCAAATTTTTATTAAAATTTAAAATTAGGGCCCGGCTAAAGTCTTTGCCTTGCACAAGCTGAGATCCCACACGGGTGCCATTTTTAATCCCAACTGCTCTGTCACCCATCCAGCTCCCTGCTTGTGGCCTGGGAAAGAAGTGGAGAACGGCCCAAAGCCTTGAGACCCTGCACCTGTGTGGGAGACCCAGAAGAAGCTCCTGGCTTCAGATTGGCTCAGCTCTGGCCATTGCGGTCACTTGGAACTTTCCAATAAAAATAGATAAATCTTTAAAAAATTAAAATCAAATTATTTAGGGCCTCATTATTGCACGGTAACCTGTTTTGTAGCCACCTCACGTTGGTATAACATGGCTCTTCCCTGCAGGATTTGTCATGAATGAACACACTGCAGGAATGCCAGAGACTGTCACATACGCAACATGGGGCCATCTGCCTATTAGAAACGGAAGCTTGTCAGGTGTGCCTTGTTGTTAATGTCTTACTGCAGCGTCACACGAAGGTTTTGGACAGCATGGTCTTTCGAATTTTTGTCTCAAGCTCCTCTCTCTGTGACCCACACATTGTCACCTCTGTGTAGCCTCTATGATATATGTCTGAGAGGAAGCATTCAACAAAACTGTTAAAACATTTTTGCTTTTTCCTACACTCCGCTTAGATATGTTTATCTTGCTAAGGTTCTCAGTGTGTCTTCTGGACGTAATCATTTGAAGCAGTTCTTACTATGTGGAGATTAATTATTTTGATGTGCTCACTATGCTGTGTATCTCTGTGAGTCAACTTCAGGAATATAAAAACTGTAAAGTCAATAAAAGCAGAAATGGTATTCAGGGTAGTGCAGCTATCATAATTCACTAAACATACACATTTACTCAGCAAAAATATTACATAATATACATATATGTAACTCAAAAAGCCACTAATAAGAGTTTATCTAATACTGTTTGGTACTAGTTTGAAAATTCTTCCAGAACTTACCCCATCCTCCCGTAGGCTTTGCTGTACTTTGAATCAATTGCTATTGCTTTCTCACAGTCCTTTATTGCATCTGTATAGTGACTTAATTTGCTCTGAGCAGCAGCCCTAGAAAAAAGATGAGACAATTTTAGTATTATAAGTAGTTTTCAAGACACCAATTTAGATTTCCAGGTACTAAAGAAAGACCTTTCCCTGTCCCGACTTGGACACGACTCCCAGGAAGTTTCTAAGCCAAACTAAGGTAGGCAGAGGGTCAAACGAAGACATGGATTTTTTTAGATGAAAAGAGATTAATATGACATAAAAATGTACAAGCCTTGAGTGCATTCACTAATTGAAAAACATACCTATAAACTAAATCTGGGAGATAATTAAAAACATTTAATATATCTCATTAAAGTTTCCTTATATCTGCATGGTATGATAGCTTTGTGGAGTCTATCATATCCTAAGGAGTTATAGCGAAAGCATTTAGAAAATTTTATATGTACCGTATTGATACATGCAGAGACAAATGCTCACACGTCCCAGAGAGACAGGAAAAGAGACATGGGAAGCAACGACAAGATGTTACCCATGACTGATTGCTGGGTAAAGTGCCAAAAATGTGCATTGTGCTATTCTCTCAATAATTAGGTTTAAGTCTGTTTTAGAAATACACGCATACACCAAGTGCCACGTGACCATTTCAGGAAAGGTTCCGTTCTCCCTGCTAAAACTCACTGAACCAGGAGTGCGCATTGGACACTGCAGCTAAGAAGGGGGTTGGCTTGTGGTTCCGGTAGCAATGCCACCTTCCTACCAGTGTGCGCCCAGAGAGACAGTACTTTATGCTTTAGGTGATCATGTGATTAGGTAACTAGGTGATCAGATCCCTGAACCCACAGGGCAAACTTGGACTGAGCTCTGGGCTCCTGGCTTTGGCCTGGCCCAGACCTAGCTGTTGGAGGCATCTGAAGAACAAACCAAAAGATAAACGATCTCTCTCTTCATACTGAACCAGTTCCAGCTGTTGTAGCCACTTAGAAAATGAACCAACCAGCAGATGGAATCTCTCTCTCCCTTTTTCTGTGTTTCAAATAAATAAACAGAAGTTTTTGTAAAACTTATGCTTTTTATTGGACATGCAGAATTAGAGAGAGGGAGAGAGAGGTATTCCATCTTCTGGTTCACTCTCCAACTAGCAAGAACGGCCAGGGCTGGGTCAGGCTGAAGCCAGGAGCTTCACCCAGGTCTCCAGTGTGGGCCCAAGCACTTGGGCCAACCTCCACTGCTTTTCCACGCACATTGTCAAAGAACTGGATTGGAACAGCCAAGACTTGAGCTGGTGTCCATGGGAGACGCTGATGCCTGCTGGCGTCAGCTTAACTCGCTAGGCCACAATGCTGACCTCAGAAAATTTGAAAAAAAAAAAAAAAAAAGAAAGAAGGAAGAAAGAAAAGAAATGCATGTAGTCAGTGAACTCATGTCCTGTAGGTCTTTAGAACTAGCAAAGAGTCAGATGACCAACCTCATTTATTAACAGATCCTTTGGCAGATGGCTAGAGCGGGAAGTACAAGGACTCGAGGGCCACTTGAACGTGTTACTGCATTTGTTTAATAAAAGTTAAGACCTAGGACTAACAGAGTAGGGGATGCGTCAGCTATATGGACGAATGATGATAGGAAAAAGAGAAGCATCAAAGAAGAGACCCTGCTCCCAGCCTTCAGATACTGACCCTAAAAAAGGGAATAAACAGGAAAACCAGACTCAAAGAAGGCAGGTGGGGGGAGGGGAGAGAAAGGATGCACAGTTTCAATCTTGACAGCTTTAGATTACACATTGCAACCTCAGGGGACGCAGATTCGTACAGCTCACAAAAGCAAGAGGCTGGGAGAGGAAAGAGAAGCCAGGCTACAGCTGGGTCTTCTGAGAGAGGAAGCCGAACCCGGCAGTGTCACCACGATGCATCACATCCCAGACACTGTCTCTGCCCTGCCGGCTGCTTACTGGGGCAGAACTAATGACATTCCAGTGGCCACTACAGCCAGAGGCGCTGCACCTTCAGACATGTGGGCTTTCCTTTTCTTTTTTACCCAATTAGAACAAAGGGATAAATATGTATTTTACGTTTATAGAAAGTAAGGCGGTAAAAAAAAAAAACCCTCACAGCTCCCATATAATTCCCATATGATGCATAACTGAATTACAGCAAAAGCCTAGTCCTTCCATTTGAAAGCTCTCACATTGATTTTGAAACAAACAACATTAAAGGTCTAGGACTATGCTAGGAATTCTGTACTGTCCTCACAATTATCCTGTAAAAGCACATTTATTAATTTATTTACTTGAGAACAACTTTACATGCAAAAGTTCACTTTCTTTCTTTTTTTTTTTTTCTTTTTTTTTCTTTTTTTTTTAATTGCATTTCATTTTGTGACATCATTTCATAGGTTCTGGGATTCCCCCAACCCTTCCCCGTGCCCTCATCCCATGGTGGATTACTCCACCTTTTTGCAGTATTACAGTTCAAATTCAGTCATGCTTCTTACATTGTAAGCATACACCATGCATAGCGTCCAGCATCTTATTGTCCAGATCAATTCAACAGTTTCTTGGGGAGATCATCTCTGGTCTAAAAGCAGAGCTGGCAGAATATTGTTCCGCCCAATTAAAAGTTATAACATAACATCAACAACAGTTTCTAACATTATGGAGTTAATTGACACGGTACTGAGTGACTGATATGTTAGAAAATGCAAGTTCTTAACCACATCCTGTGACTACTTTATTGACATTGCAATTTTATTCTAAATGCCCACAATGACCAGGGCAAGCCTAACTGACACCAGGAACTTGAAACTCAATCCATGCCTCAGGTGTACGTGGCAAAGAGTCAGCCGCTTGAGCCATTATCTGCTAATACACAGCGTGCACCTCAGCAGGAGACTGGAGGCCAGAGCGGGGCCTGGATTCACAGCCAAGTACTCCAGTGTAGAGTGTGGGTTTCCAAGCCAATGTCACACTCCGTGCCAAACACCTGCATCTAGTCATATTTTACAAGTGAGCAAATTAAGACTTGAAAAGGTTAAGCAGCTGCCCAAGTTCAAGGCTGGTGAGGGGCAGAACTGAAATTCAGCCCTGACTTTAAAAACAAATCCAACTCCATTTCCAATGAGCTGACTGGCTCTCTGCTTCTCCTCCAGCAGCATGAGAACAAAATGGTGTCTCTGTTTCTCTTTCCTCTAAGGTCATATGCTGACAGCAACCTTCCATATTATAATACCCTATTGTTTCCTGATCTCGCCTTTTGTTTCGCTCTCCAAGTACTACAACCTCTCCTGTAATTCCAGTTCCAACTGAAGATCTCCAAAGCTTACTAGGTTTTCCAGATTCTTCCCATCATAACTTCTCTCTTTACCATACATGTTTAATTCCATTTATTGCCTGAAATCATTCGAACATCCATCCCAGTAACATGAGCCTATCATGCATAAAAGTAATATGCTTAGAACTAAAGTTGGACTAAAGAAGTAACCAGGTTTGTGTAGGAATACAAGAAGTTCAACACAGCTGGTTTTTTTTTTATGTTATAAATCACTGGAAAGTATTTTCCACAAGGGCTATGCGATTCATTCTCCAATATCACTGGAGATTGCTAACATTCCTTCTATAGGCCTCCATTCATCCAATAAAACTTGGCTGGACGCCTGTAAGATGGAATGCTAAGTGCTGCAATGCACAGAAATAAATGTAAGCCACAAACTCTGCCCTTGACCTAAAGAAATAAAACAAGTATGCATGTAAGAAAAGGCAGAACCTTTGATAAACATGTTAAATATTGTGAGAAGTGTTACAAGTCTAAGGGGGCAAGAGCAGAAAATATTCATATAAACAGGTTTCAAGGAAGGGCTGGGGTTTTTCTCGTTTCTTAGCAGAACCCAAATACCAACTACCAGAAAGAAAAACAATTCTTGCTAAAAAGACAGAATTACAGAGAGAAAAGGACTGACAGAGATCTTCCATCCACTGGTTTACTCCCCAGATAATTACAACAGCTAGAGCTGGGCAGGTCTGAAGCCAGGAGCCAGGAGCTTTTCCAAATGTTCTACATAAGTACAGGGCCCAACACTTGGGCAGTTTTCTGCTCTTTTCCCAGCCCATCAGCAGGGATCTGAAATACAGCAATCAGGACCTCAACCAGCATCCATACAGGATGCCAGCACTGCAGACAGAGGCTTAAACCCACGACACCACAGCACCAGCCCCAAACAGATCATTCCCTAATTACAAAAAGTTACTTTTATGAAAATAAACTTTAGTTCATTCTAACTTTGAAAATTTATAACTCTATTTCACTCATTCATTTACTGAAGTTAAATTGTGAAAAATATTTTGACTAGAAATAAAGTTCTGGAGGCCAATGGCAAAGTTCAACAAGCTAATGCTCTACCTGCAGCCCACATGGCAGCATCCCATACGGGTGCTGATTTGTGTCCCACTGCCCACTTCCCATCCAGCTCCCTGCTTACAGCCTGGGATGGTCCAGGTCCTTGGGACCCTGAACCCACATGGGAGACCCAGACAAAGCTCCTGGCTCCTGGCTTTGGATTGGCTAAGCTCCAGCCATTGTGGCCATTTAGGGAATGAATCAGCAGATGAAAGATCTTTCTCTCTGTCTCCCCTTCTCTCTGTAAATCTGCCTTTCCAAAAATAAATAAGAAATAAAACTGGGAGCCAGCACTGACTGCGACATATCAAGTTGAGCTGCCACGTGAGACAGCATCAGCCTCTATGAGCACCGTTTTCAGTCCCAGCTGCCCCGCCTCCAATCCCACCTCCGGCTAAGGCACTTGGCAAACAGCAGAATACAGCTCAAGTGCTTGGACCACAGGGGAGATCCAGATGCAGTTCCAGGCTCCTGGGTTTGCCTGGGCCTAGTAGCAGCCATTACAGCAGTGGAAAAGTGAAGCAGCAGATGGAAGATCTGTGTCTGTCTCCCTTCTCTGTCTTTCAAGTAAGTAAGTAAATAAATCTCTGGAAAAGAAACCTGTGAAAATCAGTCTTAACTGCAAGACTGTCCTGAGCTCCCTATGTTTGACATCCAGTTGCCTAAATCATGGCTACCAGTAGCCAACTGCTGGGATACTTGTTATTGAAATATTTATAGCTGCTAGAATCTGAAGTCTTATGCAGGATTTGTACTCAATACACAAATACATTTTTCTAATTATTATATATTAAATGAAATGCTCTACTGTTGAGCTCCTCAGGGAAAAATATGCTATTTAACTGCAAAAAAAAGAGGCATAATTATCAATTGGTTTAATAAAAAGTATGTATAGGTATTATCAAGAATCTCTTTTTACATTGAAGTACTAGATATAAGACTACTTGTAAACTCTAATCTCATTAAGAATAAATTATTTAGACTCACATATTCACAGTTAAAACTACACGGCTTCCTAATACTGGTTACATTTGGTCATAATATTCTTGCAGCATTCTTCTTTGTATTATTTTAAATTAAAACAATATGCAAGGGCCTGGTACAATACGCAAGTAGCCCAGTGGCTAAAATCCTCACCTTGCATGCGCCAGGAATCCCATATGGGCGCCAGTTCTAATCCCGGCAGTTCCACTTCCCATCCAGCTCCCTGCTGGTGGCCTGGGAAAGCAGTCAAGGACGGCCCAACCAGCCATTGCGCTCACTTGGGGAGTGAATCATCGGACGGAAGATCTTCCTCTCTGTCTCTCCTGCTCTCTGTATATCTGACTTTGTAATAAAAATAAATAAATCTTTAAAAAAAAAAGAAAAACCCTCTTATGTTTCCAGCTTTTACACACATAACTATAAATTCTGGACAAAATAGAAAAAGAAAAAAGAAAAAGCCCAAACCATAACGATGACAAAGATTGAACTAATGACATATACAACAACATGGTTGAACTCAGCACTATTATATTATGTTGAGTGAAAAAAAAAGTTACACAGTAAAGTGCACATGATGCTCTCATATAAACTCTAGAAGAGACAAATACAATCTATAGTTGGAGGGGGAAACAAGGGCTTGTCTGCTGAGTTCTGCAAGCCAGCACACTTTGATGGGGACATCAGGAACTTTGCAGACACCCGATAGCAATTTTTAACATTTTGAGAAGCGTTGAAATTGCATAGGTGAGCATAGTTGCCAAAACTCAGTAACAGGAAAGATTTGAGCCTTTTGCTACATGCAAACTGACCCCATAAGGAACAAAAGTCAATAAACACTGAGTTCTAGTTTAACCTTAAGTTTGTTGCATGCTTCAGGGGCAACTGTATCCTGGTAGCTGCAAACCTGACTGGAGCTGCATCAACAGTGAGCTAAGGCCAGCATCCCATGCAGAACTCCACTTCCACTTCTGATCCAGCATCCTGCTAACCGGCACCCTGGGAGTTATCACAGATGACAATCAGTCCTTGAATTCCTCACCCCCTGAATGGAGGGAGGAGCCAATGGGATTCCGGGCTCCTGGTCCTGGCTTAGCATCCCGCTGCTGTGAGAATTTGGGGAGCAAACCAGCAGATAGATGGAAGATCGCGTTACCCTCACACCCAATGCTCTGTGTCATTCTGCCTTCTAAATGAGTAACCAAGTAAAACTTTGAAAAACATGGAATAATGAATGGAGAAAGCCACAAATAAATGACATGTGATATGCAAAATATATCAAAATATACTAGAATGTAAATACCAAAATCTAGGTGTGGAGTATGACTACTGACTGCAAATTTCAACTTAAAAATCAGGAATAAAATATTAGAGACAAAAAGTTATACAAGATCAACTCAGAACTTGAGTTATAAGACTAACTTCAGTTTCTTATTTATTTTAACGAGGTTACTAACAGACAGGTAAAGTTGATAATTGACAAAATATTTCGACCCGATGTATTTTGATCTCTGTTCACATTCCAGCCAAGGTAGAAAAACAGGCTGCTTAAATAACAAGAATACTACTGTTAATTGTGTCTAACTCGATGCTTCCTACTGCTTTACTGGTAATAACCAATTGATCTCCTCAACAGCCCTGCCAAGCCTTTGCTCTTATCTAATGCACTATAGGATAGTTCCATTGGCATATTTGTGATTGACACATGTAAGCACTTTTCTTAAGTTTGTGGGTGACATGAAGCTGAGAGAAAGAGCAAGTAGGTTATTTAACAGATTGTTTATGTAATATCTTCAAGGCAGGTAAACAACATGATATAATAAAACACAGTTCTACAGGAATAAAAAATACTGCATCTGTACCCAAAGAAATACCATTAGTGACTACACTCGTACCCAGCAGATATTTGATAAGAATGTGTCCAATAAGTGATTGAATGATAGGGCCAGGAGAATAAATGAAAAAAGACACTTTAATGAACCAAAATCAAAATATCTAAACAGCAGGCCTACGAGGCTCCTGGGCTGATCCAACCAAGGCCAGATCCCCTGCAGGAACATGTGGGAACTACATTTACTAGTAAGCTAGAATAAGTTTCAAGCAAAGCACAAAACTTAAAGTTGTACTACCTGAGGTGTACTGGCGGAAATTTTGAGAATTTAAGGTAGGGGAGGGTGGGAAATTGGGTGGGCCTTCTCCCTTAATACCCACCTTTAAACATGAAGAAAACAATATGGAAAAAATAATAGTCTTACCCACTTTCTTGTAGCCCTTGAACCTTTTTACCCTAATTAACTATGTAAAGATTGTCAAAATATAATAATAAAAAAAAAATTCAAACAGGGGTAGTGTGGAGCCTAAGGGGAGATGTCTACATTCCACTGTAGGGGGCGTGGAGTTTATCTCCAGCTCTAGATTCTGATTCCAGCTTCCTACTGGTGCAGACCCAGTGGCTCAAGGCCTTGGACTCCCACCCTCTACGGGCAAGAGCTCGGTTGGGTTTCCAGCTCCTGACCGTGCAGGCGTTGGAGAAGTCAGCAACTGGATTGGGGGCACATTGACTTTCTCTGCATGTCAAAAAAGTGAAATGTAAAGCAATTTTTTAAAAAAATCAAATGAACTCGGTAGCAAACTTCAAAACTGAAAATGCTAGCACGGAAAAGAAGAATCATGTATTCTTCAGGTTAAGAATTAGGGCCACTAGGGCCAGGCTGTCAGCCCCTGCATCCATGGGGGAGACCCCAAAGAAGCTCCTGGTTCCTGGCTTCAGCCAGGCACAATCTGGTCCATTGTAGCCATCAATGGATTTAATATCTGTATTAAATTAAAAGTGTATCAGTGGATTTAATCTGTGTGTGTGTGTGTGTGTGTGTAATGCTGCCTTTCAAAATAAAATCAATCTTTTAAAATAATTTAAACACAGATGTTTATTGTTGCTTTATACTATCCAAATGGAACAAGTTCAAAGTCCACTAGTTAGGAACAAAGTTCAATCAAGTAAATTAGGGGATATCTATCCACTTGTGCAAAACTAACACATACTAAGTGCTCCTTTCCCAGTCACAGGTATGGGTGCTGGAAATGCAAGAAAAGATAAATCGTAGTAGTGGACCAACACACACCCATCTGATTGCTTGTAAAGGTTTTGGCGAAATGAAAACATGTTTATGATACGCCTGGTGAATAAAGCTGAATTTAAAAATTGAGTCAAACAAAATGTGCTGAGGATTTTGTAACAGTAATTGCCCTCCCAAACATTTAATAACAGTAATTGCCCTGAAGGTGTAAGCAAGATTCATTCAAACGGATGAGCACGGTAGCCCCGCCACCAGGTGCCCATTTACCTGTTGCAATAATAGACGGCGTTGTTGGGGTCCAGTTCTATCGCCTGCGTGTAACAAGCCACAGCGGCAGTGTAGTTTTCTTCCTTCATGTGGTTATTGCCTAAAGCGATCAAGATGGAGAGTGAGCGCCACAGTCAGAGAAAATACAAGGTCTACCAGATGTGAAGCCCCCAACTATGTCACTTTCCAGCCACACTGTCTGTAACTTCGCCTTTCAAATATAAACAAAATTAACCCTTTGGTAAAAAGAAAAATCTGGGCCCGGTGGCGTGGCCTAGCAGCTAAAGTCCTCACCTTGAATGTGCCAGGATCCCATATGGGTGCTGGTTCTAATCCCGGCAGCCCCACTTCCCTTCCAGCTCCCTGCTTGTGGCCTGGGAAAGCAATTGAGGACGGCCCAAAGCCTTGGGACCCTGCACCCGTGTGGGAGACCTGGAAGAAATTCCTGGCTCCTGGCTTCGGATCGGCATAGCATCAGCCCTTGCGCTCACCTGGGGAGTAAATCATCAGACGGAAGATCTTCCTCTCTGTCTCTCCTCCTCTCTGTATATTTGATTTTATAATAAATAAATAAATCTTTAAAAAAAATCTGAGTGCAAAAACTTAAACTATTCCAATTAGAAACGAATGCCCATATGCACACAGAGGCCAGGACAGTCAGCTCAATGAGGCCTGCAGAGGATGTTGAGGACCACGTGAGAGGATGGTGAGCAGCACAGGTTGGACAGCTGTCCTGGTCAAGGCTTGATAGCAAGTATCTGAGCAAGTGGATACAGTAAGGTGGACTGTGTCAGCCAAGGGACCTGGGAAAGATTTCCTCAGCCTTGGAGCAATGAAACCAACAGTGTCGCATAACTAGAATGACATCAAGTGGCCGTCCCCCATCCTGGGGTGCTGATGCACTTCACCCGCTCTTCTTCCCTCCCCAACCCCGATACAGAAAAAAAAAAAAAAATTAGAAGCATTTGTCCCACCCGCTCTCCCCTACGCCTCGGCCCGCCCCACCCTGATCAGTGGTTCACACGGACACACATCCTTCTCAATGGTGCAAACAACATAAGAAATAAAATGATTTTTTTTTTAAAAGAAAGTAATCTACAAGAAATGCTTTTGCAACTATGCAGTTTAAATCCAAATTCTTTGGGGGGGGGGTATTACAACTCAGAGGACAATGAGAATCCTCCTGTTGCTTTACTTTGGATACAGCATTTGAAAATCATACTACTCTAAGATTTTAAGGCACTGTGGTAATTCCTTTTTTAGCGGAGATAGAAAATTGAAAAGTGAAATCAGTCTGGTTGTGGAAAACAGCACCACATCATATAATCCTAAAACAGTGACAAAACAGGAAAAAGAAATTCAGGCAAAGATATTGAAGACAGCATTGCCCAGGATTACAAAATTATCTGTCTAGGTAAGCAAGCCATAGTGAAGCAGAAACCCACAACACTACACAACCACTAACAACAATGATATGACTATTTATTTATAAACTTAAGAGATGCATGACCTTGCCCAAGCAACCTCTGTCCAAATGTGCCTTTTTAGGCACCACGTGACTTTTTTAAAATTCACCTATTTTCTTCAGAGTGTGAACTAAAGAAAAGGCCAGAAAAATGATTGTGTGTGTAGCTTCTAAACCAGCCTTACCCCTAATAACTCTGTTCACATAGGATGTTTTTTGTTTTTTGTTTTTTTACTCTCATTCACTGCTAAAACTAAGATGCACCCTAGAGCATCTCACTGCGGAGCTGGGAGGGCTGACCTGGTTCTCCATAGCTCAGCACAGCTGACATGATGGAAAAACTGAACAGTAATTCTTAACAGTAGCCTGTGTATTAAAATGGAAAGCTAGTCTGCCCTTAGAGAACTCACTAATGTAATCACCAAAGATGCCAGTTAGGAAGTCCTAGAGAACAAGGAGCAGACACAGTTACAAACAATTAGTGACTTGTTTTGCAAGCTTTACTTCCATCAGCTCTGTTCATCTTGAGGCAAGCCATCTCTACACTACACACAACATGTTCTGTCTTGCCAGGCTTCTTACTCATCACATTCATTTCTTTCCCAGAAGCTATAAGGCCTTGAAATAAACCAATCTCGGTGGTATAAACCAGATGCTTATCAACTGGCTGTGCTCTCTCCAGAGTTGGAAAAGAAAGCATGATTAACGAAGGAATTCTTGTCTGAAATACTCACCTTCATCTTTTAATTGATCGGCTTTTCCCACATCCTCAGGCACTGAGTTTGAGAGGGGCAGGATGTCATTCTGAAAATAAACACAGATTTATCAAATCCTTCCATTTAGCTAGTTCTCCCAGAGTACTCTAAAGAAAGAAATACTAAATTACACACATTTTTGTAACTCGTCAGTACCTCATTTCATGAAATCAAACACCTAAACATCAGTGTTAACAAGAAAATGGGGGGAAGTACTCTAAAATACTTTTTATTATAAATATGAATAAGTGGACTTTTCTAAAGGACAACAGACAACTGTGACTCTATTTTGTAAAAATGTGGTTTTTGTATATTCAAAAATCCTATTACCCATGTCATGTAGGAGTAGAAATCATTGCAGCACTGACTGTATTAGTGAAACTTTTGAAGCAGGAGTTACAAAAACGACCTAAGAGATACCTCACTAACTAAAGAGCAGTTAATAAAAAGAAAGACCTTATAATATATTACTTAAATATATACACAGAGAGAGACATTTAAAAACAAAGATTGTAAAGTATTTGGGAATAAACTATTCATTCCCTTCTTCCTATTTTTTTCATATGTTCCACATTTTAAAAGCAAGGAGCCATGGCCCACGTTAAACAAAAGGAAGAAAAGCGGGGGCTTCCTTGAAGAGCAACACAGAAAACTGTCTTAATCTCCTTATACCTTGTCGTTGATTTCATGCTTGATGAATTAATATATTACGGGATTATTCTTTATCCAGATACAAAAAGAAATTTGTATGCCAAATTAACATCTCCAATACAACTCCAAGAACTTCTTCTCGACAAGTTCTAGAAAGAGAGCCTGGCACACGCAGTCACATGTGGCTCTGTCCGCAAAGTGCATCCGTGCTGACGCCTGTGCCGTGCGTTTCCATCTCACTCCTGCGTCGCTCCTTGATACAAGAGGAAAAGAAGCCTGCGCTGCCGGAGCACAGGGCAGGGAAGGGGACAGTGAGTGCATCCTAGGCCCTGACACTCGCTGACCTTCAAAGGATTTCAAATAATCTCACAGTGCGTGTTTCCTGAGAAGGCCAGAAATTACACCCTCTCAACAGGTGCTGGGAACAGGGGCCAGACACTCCGGTTTCCACTGTAGCTTTGCACGCAGTCTCTGAACATTCCTGTGCTCTCCAGAGCCCCACCAGGGGCCAAATTGGATGAAATCTGATTCCGATAGGATGATTCATTCCAGATGAACCTTCTTGTGCGTGGCTGATTGTAGACAGTTAAACTTTTGTTTGAAAGTTACATTCCACGGTTTAGGGGAATGTCAATTCAGATGTCAGAAATCTAAAAATACTCAGCCACTGCAAAGCACTTGAGAGTCAAGTCAAACACATGATTCACTCTAGAAGGTGAAAGGATAAGGAGGCACCTGATCCGAACACCCAAAGCACACTGGGTTCTAGTTTAGATCCCAGGCTGACATCTGTATAGACTCTCCACCTCATCAATCCAGCAGCAAACTGCGGTCTCTCTGACATCACACACTCATGAGGAAAAACCACCACAACTTACCTTGCAGAAGGAATTTGTGAACATTTCTGCCAAAGGTTGTGACACTGCTAAGTGCGTATCTTCTGAGCTGATCTTAAAAACGGTCTCCAAGCACTGAATGGCAACTTAAAACAAAATTTCATAGTGCAAAAGGGTTAGCAACAATCTTTGTTTCCCCTTGCTAGGAGGGCAATCTGTGGTGATTCGGTCTTTGTAATCACAGAACATAAGGAAAACGAATTGGTTCAGCTGTACAGAGATTTCTGTTGGTAAACCAGCTGCTGAGGGAAAAATGACTTCATTTCTTATGCTTTACTGAAAGAAAAATGTTCTTCAGCACACATTACGTCATCCTGCTGCTAAAGACGACTAGAAAGGCTACTTGTGAACAGCTCAGGCCCTACCTACTGATATCTCTAATTAGCCATCAATGCCTTCAAGTCTTGAATAAATATCAAATATTATCTTTTTCAAATGCGAGCAGTGGATTCCCAATCTGATTTAAAATAACAAGAAAAACATAGTCCTGGTACACAAGAAGCAGTGAAACATGAAGCACTCAGTACTAATATGCTTAATCTTGGGTAAAAATATATCAGTTTTTTTTAAAAATCCATTCATGCATAGAAATTTTCTGAGTGCTTGCCACGTTTAAGGTGCACTCTTAAAGTGGTAGACACACAGCAGTCAGGCTAACCAAATCCCACCATCCACATGATAACGTTTATACCAAAGAGAAGGAAGGAGATGACACGATAAATAAAATGCATAACATGTTAAATGGTGAGAGGTGCCTTGGCATTTTTGGTCCATGACAAGATGATAGGTTGATGGGAACAGGGAACAAGCCGAGTGAAAAGCTGCCACAGGGGATTATGTGAGCAAGCCAGGTTGTCCTCGGATGAAAAGGCCCTGCACGCAGGATATCTAAAAGATGTGCACCTTGTGCAACGGGCAGATGAAGAGCCATCAAAGAATTCTGTGAAGGACAAGAACATAACTGTATTTATATTTAGAACTAAAAGTCTGGCAGGAATGTTGAGAATGGATGAGAGAGGGAAGTGGGATGAGAATCTGCAAGCAGAGGAGCAGGTGTTCCGCAGAGCAGTGCATCTGGGGACACCTGAATCCCACGGTGCCGTGCCCGAGTGCAAGCCCCGCTTGGCTTCCCAGTCCACCTTCCCCCTTGGTGTGCCCTAGCGGAGGCAGCAGCCAGGGCTCGAGTATCTCTGTGCCTGCTGCCCACACAGGAGATCCGGACTGCATCCCAAGTTCTTGGCTTCAGCTTGGCACAGCCCTGGCAACCAACAGAATGGAAGAAAAATTCTGCATACTTCATAGGTGGTAGGACACTAATATCCAGGATTTACAAAGAGCTTCAGAAACCCAGGGACAGAAAAAAAAAAACTGTGAAAAAATGGGCAAAGGAAATGAACAGACATTTTTCAAAAGAAGAGATTCAAATGGCTAACAGACATGAAAAGATGCTCAGGTTCCCTAGCTGTCAGGGAGATACAAATGAAAACCACGTTGAGGTACCACCTAGCTCCAATGAGATTGGCCTACATTCATAACTCAACTAACAACACCTGCTGGCGTGGATGTGGGGAGGAAGGCACCCTCCTTCACTGCTGGTGGGAGTGCAGGCTAGTACAACCACTACGGAAATCAGCATGGAGAATGCTAAGAGAACTGCAAATAAACCTGCCATATGATCCAGCTATCCTGCTCCTAGGAATATACCTAAAGGAAATGAAAACTGCATATGAGAAGGGGATCTGTAATCCTATGTTTGCAGCAGCACAATCTGTAATAGCAATGACATGGAAATAATCCAGATGCCCATCCAAAGAGGAGTGATTAAAGAAACTGTGGTTTCTTACTATTACTCCATGGACTATTACTCAGCCATTAAAAAGGATGAAATCATGCCATTTGCTGGGCCCGGTGCGGTGGCGCAGTGGTTAAGGTCCTCGCCTTGCACGCCCAGGATCCCATATTGGCACCGGTTCTATCCCGGCAGCCCCACTTCCCTTCCAGCTCCCCGCCTGTGGCCCGGGAAAGCAGTCGAGGACAGCCCAAAGCTTTGGGACCCTGCACCCGCGTGGGAGACCCGGAAGAGGCTCCTGGCTTCGGATCGGCTTGGTATCGGCCGTTGGCTCACTTGGGGAGTGAATCATCGGACGGAAGATCTTCCTCTCTGTTTCTCCTCTCTGTATATCTGCCTTTCCAATAAAAAAAAATAATAATAAAAATAAATCTTTTAAAAAAAAAAAAAGAAATCATGCCATTTGCAACTAGATGGTCTCAGCTAGAGACCATCATGCTCAGAGAAATAAGTCAATCCCAAAAGCACAAATACCATATATTCTCTCTAATATAAGGAAACCATGATCAAATTAGGCTCTTTTGCTTTCTTTACCTCACCCATGAGTTGGTTATGCAGTGGTGCATTTTTTTGACTCCATGGTGCTGTATTTTTTATTTGTTTTGTTTTTGTTAACTTCATATCTGTTGTTGACCTTATTTCATGGCTCCCCATTTAAGGGAATGCATAGTGATGGAGTAATACAAACTACCATAGACAGATGTAAATATACAATGCAGTATGCATCCCTACTTCCAAATCACAGATGGACTCCCAATGAAACTGTTGGAAGTATCTAGACAATGGGAGGTTGGACTGTCTGACATTATCTGTATCAGTGATGTTGGGGCACATTTGAATAACAGACTGGTGGAATTACAACCTGTTATGGAGGACTATACTATTGCAACAATATAGGGAAAATCAGTCGGGGTGGGAATTGGCGGGGTGGATCCCATGCCCTACATAATTGTACCATAAAATTCAAAATGAAAAAATAAATTTGAAAAAAGGCAAAAGGAATTCAGCATACATTTCTCTCAAGATTCTTATTTATCAGAGATGAAAGTATCTGATCTTTCTTTCATGAGATCACACGAGGATACAAGTCATCCATTTTGAAAGAAAGCCTGTATCTATCGATCCTCCTTTTAAATTTATCTTCTGAAAAGTAAATTATTTTATTTCCTTCACATTAGCAGAAAGCTAGAATAGGGAACAGGGCTGAGACGAACCTAGACACTGTGATACAAGATGCAGAGGCAACCAAAACAACATCTTAACCACTCTGCCAAACAACTGGCCTGATGTTCTCTTTAACATGAACCAAAGAAAAATAGGTGGATATTGAAGGAGAATCAAACAAGTGAAGAATCCTATTCAATAACAACACGGTCCATCTGTATAGCAATTTCTTCCAAAGTTCCTACATGCTAGGTTCCTGCTATTCCCTAACTCAGATTCCCTGGACAAATCTATCAAACGAGGACAAGACCTCACAGACTTAGAAAACAAAATACAAACCGACTAAGGGATACTAGCAGAATCACTGGATCCAACTCATCAGCTCAATATATGTTTATAATACTCCATTTGTCCAGCAAATTTCTAGAAAATAGAAATAGATTCCTAACTTCTTACGGCTTACCAGCCAGCGGAGGATGGAAAGGTGAACTGTAAAAAATTAAAATGTAGGGTCAAGAGGGTGGGGAATGCATAGAAAGAGCAGAGAAGCAGAATTTAGACTGAACAGAATTTAGAGTATATTGAGAAAAAGAGATTGAACAAAGATGGGGATGTTACCTATACATGGCAATCCGTTCCAAGCAGAGGAAACAGGGAAGGAAAAGCACTCGTGCACTGATGGGGAGCAAGTTAATCTGGCTGAAAGCAAACGAGAAGAGGGAAGGGTGAAGACACACAGCAGAAGTCCAAATCACAGACTCATTGAACAATGACTGGTAACCTCAGAAGTGGCTGTGAGATTTTGAGTGGAGAAAAGACAGATTCTGGTAAACTGAATTTTTTAAAGATTTATTTATTTTTATTACAAAGTCAGATATACAGAGAGGAGGAGAGACAGAGAGGAAGATCTTCCGTCCGATGATTCATTTCCCAAGTGAGCGCAAAGGCCAGTGCTGTGCTGATCCACAGCCAGGAGCCAGGAACCTCCTCCAGGTCTCCCAAACAGGTGCAGGGTCCCAAGGCTTTGGGCTGTCCTTGACTGCTTTCCCAGGCCACAAGCAGGGAGCTGAATGGGAAGTGGAGCTGCCAGGATTAGAACCAGCGCCCATATGGGCTCCCGGTGGGTTCAAGGTGAGAACTTTAGCCACTAGGCCACGTTGCCGGGCCTGGTACACTCAGTTTTAAAATCTCACTCACCGGTTATTGTGTTTGGAATAGTTGATGGTGGGGCATGAACAGAAGCAGAGACCATTAGGGCTTTTCACAGTAAAGCAGGTGAGAAATGCTTAATTCTCTCGGGCTCCTACTATTGGAGGTGGTAAGAGGTGGTCACACTGATACATATTGAAAGTATTGCTAACAAGACTTTTGAAACAATTAAGGATGGAGTGTGACAGAGAGAAGAGTCCAGAATTATACCCAAGTTTTTGGCCTGAGCAACAGAAAATCTGGAGTTGCTACCAACGGAGAAGGGGAAGTTGCAGCAACAGATTTTGGGTGGGAGGATTAGGAGTTCATTTTTGGCAATGTTAAATATGAGATGCTTGTTAGACAAGCAAGTTGAGCTATCTTACAGATGATTGCCTATACAAGTCAGGAGTTCAGAAGGTCTGGGCTGAAGGTATACATGTGAGAAATGTCAGCATACAAATAAGAGGTATGAAAGGCAAAGAAGACGAGTGATACCACCAAAGAACTGAGTGTAGATAGTGAGAAGTAGGTTGTGGGTACCCAATTCAGGGAAAAGAAGAGACATTGGCTAAGGAAACAGAAGAGGAATGGATAATGAGCTTAGAAGATAGCCAAGAGAGTTTGAGGCATCCAGAAACCTAAGTATATAAAAAGAGGGGGAAATGACAGTGAGAATCAACTCTGAAAATGGTAGTCAGAATAAGCACGAACCACATGGAACCAAACGGCACAGAAATTTCTGATGACCTTAACAAGAGACGTATAGATATAGAGAGAGCAGCAAAAAGCTAACTGAGTGGATTCAAGAAAGAACAGGAAATACACTAGAGAAAGCATTATTGGCCAAAAGAGTGGCTGCAAAGCAAGACAGAGGCAGGAACATAATGGGTGCTGCTCCTGGTGGGAGGATGGATGGGCAGCGGAAGTTGGTGAAAGCTGTTTTCTTATCATTTCAGTGTTCTTGGTGGAGGAGAAAGAAAGGTCATCAGCAAACAATGAGGACCAGAGAGGCTGGGAATGGAGAAGACATGAGAAATCATTAAGACGATTATCTAGGGGAGTAAACTGCGTTTGTCAAAAAGACAGTATGTGGCAGGATTAAGATTGTACCTGTGATCATAGGCATGATTTTGAAGTGGGGCAGTCAGCAAAGCTGTATGTTTTGCTCCATCTGTATATGGCCACACAATTGCAGGCAAAGAGGGGGTAGAGCTGGATCTAGATAAAGTTAGGATTTAGCAAGGAGAAAGAAATACCAGGGGAAGATCATAGCAATCAAGTATAGTATTTCAAAATCCCTTGGGCAGACACGGTGGCGCAACCGGCTATTTCTCTGTTTGCAAGCACAGTATCCAGTATGGGTGCTGGTTTGTGTCCTAGCTACTATACTTTTTCTTCAGCTCCCTGCTTATGACCTTGGAAAACAGAGAAGGATGGACCAAAGTCTTGGGATCCTGCATCCACGTGGGAAATCTGAAAGAAAATCTTGGCTCCTAGCTTTGGATTGGCTCAGCTCCAGCCATTGCAGCCTCTTGGGGAGTAAACCAGTAGACAGAAGATCTTTCTCTCTGTATCTCTTCTCTGTAAAATCTGCTTTTATAATAAAAATAAATATATCTGTAAATAAATGAAAGATTTCTCTGCCCTTCAAGTAGATGAAAATAACTATTTAAAAACAAGACCCAACAAAGATTGGTGTGCTTTTGAAAATATAGATGACTATAGATACAGGACGAGTGATAACAGGGATGATTTAAATATTTGTTGGGGTATGAAATTTTGATGAAGTGAGCTGGAGAGCCAGGCTGTGTGTAATTCTGATAACAATGTCAAGGGAAGGAGTTGTCAATCTCAGCCTTCTGATGTTTTGAAATAGGTAATTCTGTACTGCCATCTCCATGAGGGCACTGCCATCTCCACGAGGACACAGCCATCTCCATGAGGGCACTGCCATCTCCACAAGGGCACTGGCATCTCCATGAGGGCACTACCATCTTCACAAGAGCACTGCCATCTCCATGAGGGTACCACCATCTCTATGAGGGCACTGCCATCTCCATGAGGGCACTGCCATCTCTATGAGGGCACTGCCATCTCCACGAGGGTACTGCCATCTGCATGAGGGTACTGCCATCTCCATGAGGGTGCTGCCATTTCCACGAGGGTACTGCCATCTACCTGAGGGTACTGCCATCTCCACGAGGGTACTGCCATCTCCATGAGGGCACTACCATCTCCACGAGGGCACTGCCATCTCCACGAGGGTACTGCCATCTCTACGAGGGCACAGCCATCTCCATGAGGGCACTGCCATCTCCACAAGGGCACTGGCATCTCCATGAGGGCACTACCATCTCCACAAGGGCACTGCCATCTCCATGAGGGAACCACCATCTCCATGACAGCACTGCCATCTCCATGAGGGCACTGCCATCTCCAGGCATGTACCGCCATCTCCATGAGGGCACTGCCATCTCCAGGCATGTACCGCCATCTCCATGAGGGCACTGCCATCTCCATGAGGGCACTGCCATCTCCAGGAGGATATGGCAGTCTCCAGGAATTAGGCCTGGAGAGGTACTAGAGGCAATGACATGAGCAAGAACCTCAACATTCACAAAAGAAGCAGATGTCAGATCAGGGCAGCCACTAAGAGGGGTACATGACATCATCTGAAAACAAGACTCCAAGCTGGCACTGTGCCGGCTTCCCACCAGTGTTTTTTTTTAAATGTCTAGAAGGTGGGCAGACACCTCCACATGATTTCATGTTCAATTAAATTAGAAACACAGAGTCAAAAATAGTGGTCAGTTGAAAACAATTGGCTCTATTTCTGACTGCCATATATAACAAACAGATGAAGGCCCATGTTTCTGGCTGAATACCATCCTAAAAATAGGACATAACATCTTGGTTAAAATAAAAATCTCTAAATTTGCTGTCTTGTCCTTAAAAGTATCACACTGTGTTTGACTAGGGGGAAAAATATCATGAAAAGATTTTTATCTACTTGGTACAGATCAGTCATAACCAATATTTTCCATATTTAAGCAGTCATCTTTGTCTTCACACATCAAGGAGGACAAAAAGACCATAAGATTACATGGATGGAATGCAATGGTTTCCAACTGTGGCTCACCTGCTCCTCTCACTGCTACCTGAAAAGACACCTTCGCAGACCGCAAGCAGACTGAGAGCAAATGCCCAATTGGCACTTCCACCCCCAAAAGCAAATAATTCAGGAAAATGCCCACTGAAATGAATAGATGAGTCCAACTTAGCAAGGGAAGCAGCTTCAAGATGCGCAATACAAACTGGCTGAGTTCTCCCCAGCCCACTCTCACAGCAGTAACAAGGTCTTCAGGTCATGGGGAAGCCAGGCTCCCTGAACCTTCACAAGCCCATCTGCAGAATCCTCTGTACACTCAGGCTGAATTTAAATTCTAGCATGCATAAACATGAAGTCCAAAAATGGTGTCAAGGAAATTCATGACGCCACCACCCAAATCCCACTCAGCCCTACAGATTACCGAATCCCACATTAAGATCTCACTGGAAACAAGGGCGAAATCCTCTCTTGGCAAGGGCCCCAAATAGGCAGTTTTCAGAGCACACCAGTGGTAAAATTAGACTTTTGCATAGCACTTCACACTGATGGGGTATTTTCATGTGTTATTTCTATCATGGATACTGTCCTGTTAGGAAAAGATGGGAAGAGTAAGAACCAGGATTCCAGCCTCCGCTTTGTCTCATACTGGTTTTGGTGTTGCTTAACCTGCCTGGCTTCATTTTCCCGCGAGCTAAGTAGAGAAAGCACTAACTTGGCTGCTGTCAGGGACAAACTGCCAACAACATGAGCAGCATGGTTTGGGCCCATAGTAATTGCTTGATAATAAACTACTCTTTTTGTTTTACTGTTAATAAAGGCATCCAAAGCACGTTTCCGAGAAGAGAAATTAGAAAACCTCTCTTCTTGAAAGATCAATGGAGTATTCAATTTTGTTACAATAGGTGTAATGTTATTTTAGCCTTTATAACTCAAAGGAGGGGAAATAACAGGGACACACCTTCCAAACTTTCCTGTTCATCAGAAGTATAAGCTTCCATCTGACTCTGTTCCCGTAAGAAACGAATAATTGCATAAACCAGGTGCTGGACAGTTGACATTCTTGACTCACAACTTTCTCCTGGATATGAAAAATAAAAAGTTATTATAAATAATCAGGAGGGTTATGCATCACAAAGGCAACCAATAACAATCAAAATTTATCGTGAAAGTAAAAAAAAACCAAGCAATAATACTTATTTATAAAGTCAGCGGAGTACAATGTGTTTCTATGGTCATTTATTTCATATTTTCATTCATACTCATTAGGTTTATGAAACTTAAATCTAACATAAACAGTCCCTCCCAGACATACTTTCACTGGCTACTCCATGACAAGGTAATAGCACAGATGGTTCAGAATCAGACTAGGACGGGGATGCAAACTCACATATATACCCCCCAAAGGCCTCCGTCCTCGGTTGAGGGAGACTTCTGAGTGCTGACTCAGAGACTCCTCAAGACCATCTTCATGAGGTTTATTTTTTTTTTTAACTGCACTGATCATTCACGCAGCACCTACTTGATAGGTTGTGAGTTATCTGCTGAGGAAACACATCCACAAAAGGGTGTTGGGCACTGGCTGTCGTTCTGAATTTAAAAAATGGCATTTCCATTCAGCCAACAGACGCGCCGGTCACTCACTGCCCACTGACCTGAGTGGTCTGTAGGGCTGTGCTCTCGGGGTGCTCATTCACGCCGGAACCACTGTCCAGACGGCGGCGCAGAGCCAGCTCAGGCTTATTTCCACTAAATCGCATCAGCGCTCCATCTGTTTGCTCCCCAGGCTCCCTAACCCAAAGCCAGGGTGTGGTACCCGCCGTCAGGATGTTTATTATTTGTATACTTAGGTTACAGGAGAGCGCGCTCTCTAGGCCTTGGGTTATTCCAAGTGCGAAACGAGGCCCCAGAGCAGAAGGTGGCAAACTGAACACGGAGGTGGGGGTGGAGGGCCAGCAGGGGTGCAGGCTCCTCCAGGCTTCTCCCCGCTTCCTCTCCCCAGAACACATCGGCCTCCCCCTCGGTGCCGCCTTCCCTCCAGGGCCCTGGTCTCTCCCAGAGCCCTGACGGGTTCTGTAGCAGGTGCAAGGCGCAGGCCTCCGTCTGGGGCGGCCGGAGACGCACCCTTCCCAGACAGGAACCCCTTACCAAGCAAGAGGATGCGAAATGACGGCTGCGGGCCCGAGGGCGTCTGGAAGCCGGTCCGCCTGTGCGCTGGTTCTCAGGGCTTGAGCGTGGCTCAGGATCCCAGTGCCACCAGCGCCTGCCCAAACTTCCCCGGCTCCCACGCCGCCGCCCCCTCAGCCCACCCGGCTGCGTGTCTCGCTCGGGGGATGCAGGGCTCCAGCAGGCCCGCCCCTGGGGCGGAGCAGGATGCGCGCGGGGCCGGACTCGGGGCGGAGCTCGGGGCGGGACCCAAGTGGACGACGGACGGTGTGAGGCTGCCGCACGTGGGAGGGGACCGGCAGGGCCTCGCGTCGCCGTGCTCCCGGCTGTGGCCTCCGGTGCCCGGCGCCCGGACTCCGCCGTCGGCCTCCCTGACCAGGACGGCGCTCCCATGATCGTCCGGTGCCTTTCGGCTGTGCGAGGCCTCCACAGGTACCTCCTCAGGCGGGTTAACCTTGACGATGGGCAGGGGCTAGGTGTGGCGCCTGGACAACGCCGCGCCTTGCGGCCCGGCCTTTCCCGACCGCAGCCTGGCGCCCCTCCGCGCGGCCTGCGTGGTCCACCCTGAGCGGCGCCTGGCGCGGCCGACTGGCCACCTTTTCCTCCTCGGCTCCCTCGGGAGGGCCTCCTGCGTTCCCTTTGTTTGGCTGTGCTTCCGCCGCCTCTAGCCAGGACTGTGGTGACAGACCCGGGCCAAAACGAGCGCAGCAGAGAGCGGGTCCGCGTGGGGAAATCCTTGGCACCCATGCTGAGCTGTCCTTAAAGGTGCCGCGGCTGGAGGCTCGGGAAGGAGCAGTTCCTCTCTTTGCGCCTGGCCCGCATCATTGGCATTCCGATCCTTTAACTGCCATGCTACTAGCAAACCCTTTCGCGTGTTTCCGTCCGTGCTTCCGAACAGCCCTTTTCTTTTCCTTCTCATAAAAGGAAGCTCTTGTCTGTTGCTGAAGCAAATTGACTTGGCCCCAACTGGGGGAAAAAAAACAATGCTTGCTTGGATGCGCTTTGGGGAGCATCTCCCGCGGCTGGTTCTTGGTTTGCTTTCAGCTGCTGCAGCCACACCCCTCTCTGCCCTGGACCCGGAGCAAGGTGCTGAGGGAATTGCTTTGCAGGGATGTAGTGGTTTTCAGAGACAATGCCGCCTCCACCCTTGCTTTCCAAACCAGCCCTCAACTGTCAGTCCGAAGGAAGATTCAGCCAGAAAAAAGAGAGTGTATGTGTAAGTTGCATGGCATCAATGGGAGATAGCCGCGTTTGCATCTATTACTTTGTTCTGCTCGGACCTGCCCCCTCTTCTCTGTGGAGTTCTGTGTGGCGCTGGTCTAGCCTTCTACCAGGGTCGGTGGTAATTCCCAGGAGGTGCCATGCTGATTGGGACCTTACTGTAGGCTCCCCTCGCCCTCATTCCCCGCCCCTCCGCACCTCGTATCTCCCCACCTCCCCCTGCAAGAGGTGTACCTGCCATTAAAGTCACACCAGCCTGGGCGCTCCTCCAGTAACACACGTGGGAGAAGAGACAAAATCCTCACGGGAAACAGCATTTCTCAAATGTTTCACTCTCAACACCCTTTACCTCTCAAAAATGGAAGGACTGAAGAGTTGTTTGTTTCTGGGGCTTTTAGCTGCTTGCATTTGCCCTCTCAAAAAGTCAAACTGGGAACTTTGAAAACATTTACTAGTTTACTTATGAAATAGTAATAAAGCCATTGCATCTGAATGCAAAACAGTTATTTTCCAGCTGCTCTTCTACCAATCAAGAATAACATTGGCATGGCAGTTTTTCATTGCTTTTTTTTTTCGGGAAAAAAAATGTGGTAAGATAAAACAAAAATTTCCCATTTTCATCATTTTTAATGAATTGATAATTTGAAATGCAGAGAGGACAGCATCCACTGCTGGCACAAGCTGCACCCAGCACCCTGGAACTCCGTCCAGTGACCCACGTGCATGGCAGAGACTCCTGCAGGTGCTCAGCAGTGGGGAGCTGCAACAGAGCCCTGTGACAGTGCTGCCTGAAGCGCTGGCCACACTCCTGCCCCGTTTTAATCATTTTAAAGCAGGAATGCAACTCAGGGCCGTCAGGTGCATTTGCATTCTTGTGCAGGCGTCACTGCCGTCCGCCTCCCGATTTCTCTCATCGTTGCAGGCTCAGTCTCTGTGGCCACTGCAGAACCGATGCCCGTTACAGCCAGCCAAGGCCTTGGTAACCACGAATTTCTTTGTCCCTATGAATGTGACTAATCCAGGTCCCTCATATGATTGGAATTATGCAGCATTTATTCTTTTGCACCTGGCTCATCTCATTTAGCAACGTGTTTGTAAGGCAGATTGACTCTGAGGCACGTGACAGACTGCTTTTTATGCACTCATACTTCGCTTTGCGTATGTGTCACCTGCCATTCATTCATCTGGTTGCTCCCACTGTTGTGAGTGATCCTGCTCTGATGATCAGTGGGCAAATAGGAAGGTGTTAGAAAGAGATGTGAGAAACGGAATTAAAAGCTAACGATTTGGGTGCAAAACTTGTTCAAGTCCACGAATATTCATCATACCTGTTCAAGTTTGTGCTTTGTGTTCAAAACATTCGTGGAAAAATACGTATTATGAAAAAGCTATGCATAGATTTAAAAACATTTTTGCACCAAAATAAACATCTTTTAATTTCACGTGTCCGTAAACTTTTTCAAACACACTTAGACGATTTAAAGTGGGGACTGATGCATCCTATGGTGATTTTATCTTTAATTTTTTTTTTTTAAATGGAAGAAGGAAAAGCTTTTTTTTAAGACTTAATCGTTTTTATTTGAGAAGCTTATTTACGGAGAGAGAGGAGATTCTTCATCCAGCCGTTCATTTCCCAGATGGCCACAATGACTGGAGCTGAGTAAATCCGAAGCTGGGAACTTCTGGGCTTACCGTACGGTACTGCATGGATAAGGGGCCCAAACACTGGGTTTTCCTGGTCCCTAAGCAGGGACCTGGATGGGGAGAGGAGCAACCAGAACACCAACTGGCACCCATGTGGGTTGCCGGCACTGCAGGAGGAGCCTTAGCGTACTACACCACAGTGCTGGCCTCTGGTCTTTAATTTTTTGAGGAACCATCACACTGTTTTGTACAGCAGCTGTGCTGTGGGACATTAGCATTATTGTATAAGCATTTCAGTTTTTTCACACCCTCACTGCTTATTTTTTGGAATTTTGAAAATAGTAATCCTAGGAGTGTTGATGTGTGATGGAATAGCAGGTAACTGGATTCTTATATCTGTTTCTGCATTGAATGTGCTGCACTGTTTTCGTTTTCTTTAGGAAAATGGTGAAGACCCCATCTTACACTCACCTAGCTGTGAAGAAGGGAAGCTTTAATATCCTCTTACAGATAATCAAGAATATTCGTTGGGCCTGGCACTGTGGCCTAGTGGCTAGAGTCCTCGCCTTGAATGCCCCAGGATCCCATATGGGGGCCGGTTCTAATCCCAGCAGCCCGCTTCTCATCCAGCTCACTGCTTGTGGTCTGGGAAAGCAGTCGAGGATGGCTCAAAGCTTTGGGATCCTGCACCCATGTGGGAGACCTGTAGGAGGATCTGGGCTCCTGGCTTCAGATCGGCGCAGCACCACCTGTTGTGGTCACTTGGGGAGTGAATCATTGGACGGGGGATATTTCTCACTGTTCCTCCTCCTCTATATATATATATCTGACTTTACAATGAAAATAAATAAATCTAAAATAAAATTTTTAAAAAGCAACAAGAATATTCATTGATGCAACACCAAAGTTTGATAAATGATTTTTTTTTTTTTTAGATTTATCTACTTCCTTTACTGGAAAGGCAGATGTACGTAGAGACAGATCTTCCATCTGCTGGTCTATTCCCCATGCAGCCACAATGGCTGAAGCTGACCCGATCCAAAGCCAGGAGCCAAGAACCTCCTTCAGGCTTCCCCTGCTTGTGTAGGGTCCCAAAAGCCTGGACCATCCTCCACTGCCCTTCCAGGGCACAAGCAGGGAGCCAGATGTTAAGTGGAGCAGCCAGGACACAAACCAATGCCCAAATGGGACCCCTGCACATGCAAGGCAAGGATTCAGCCACCACACCATCACGTCTGGCCCAACAAACGATAATTTTTAAAAAGTAGTTACACAGTAGCATCTGGAACTGCAAGCGTAGCTTTTTTTTTTTTTTTAAATATTTGTTCATTTTTATTTAGAAAAGAGATTTAGAGAGTGAAGGAGAAACAGAAAGATCTTCCATCGGGTAGTTCACTCCCCGAATGGCTGCAGTGTCAGGAGCTGAGCCTATCCAAAGCCAAGAGCCAAGCTCACTGTGGGTCTCACGTGTGCGCAGGGTCGCAGGATTTGGGTCTTCCGCTGCTGCTTTTCTTGTCCATAAGCAGGGAGCTGGATTGGAAAGGAGCAGCTGAGCACAAACACTCATATGGGCGCTAACAGTTGCGGGTGAAGGGTTAGCCTATTGTTCCTTTCTTAAAATCCGTTGGTATATCTTCGTGTGATTTTGCAACATCAAGCAAAAGTTAGTTGGGAATTAGGACTTAATGTGTTACATAAGTTTTAATAATATTTCCCAATGACATATTTCATTATACAGTGCCAGACAATTTCATTCCTCAATGTCGTTATCCATCTAACCAGAAAACTCTGTCAGGAGGCTGTCCATCTCAGGGTAACAAATGCAGTTTTCAAAAATCCGATTTTCATTTGAAAGCTGGGATTTTTATCACTGGCCACATATATTATCAGTTGTTTTCCTGCACGTTACAGTCTCACTTTGTTATATTTTGGACAATTTCTGGCAGGTACTTAACTGAATAATCTTGGTTTGTCCAGTAGTAATTTTTTTCAAGTGAAAATAGAGATCCTGGGGTTGGACATTTGGTGTGGCATGAGATGGCCTCACCTGTGATAGGGTCTGTGTTCACGTCCCATTGTGATGTTAACGTCACCATCTTGCTTATGTGTGCGCAGGCAGGCTGCAGGTGATGGATATGGGAGCTTGGTACCACGTGAGCATCCGAGGTTGAGTTCCTAGCTCCTGGCTCTAGCCTGGTTCAGCCCTAGCTGTAGCAGGCACTTAACTCACAGTGGAGAGAGCCCTCTCTTTCTGTCCCTCTGCGTTTCAAATTAAATAAGTACATGTATTTATGAAAAGCAGAATGACAGAGAGCTCTCATCCCCGGGGCTTCTTTTTTTGGGGGGGGAGGATCTGCTTACCCCTTCCCAAGGCAAATTGGCAGGCGGAGCAGTGATGGGAATGTCTGTCACTGCCTTGGATCTCGCTCAGCTTCCTTATTTTGTAAAATGGGAAAGACTAGGGTAAGGTGATATCTAAGGTTTCTTTCAGCTCTGTGTTGCCACAGCAATGAGACCGAGAAAACTCCACCTCCTGGCTCCATCAGATTGTACGGCACGTGAGCCAA